TAATAGTGAAATCGGGATAACTGAGTTTTTCAAAGTCTCGGGGTCACTCATGTGGCAACCACTTAAGTTTTACCGTATTTTACGCCCAGATATCTGTGCAAAGCATTTATTTGTCACTGTAAAGTATAGTAAGTTTATTATGGTGTCTCGGCTCCCAGATGGATGAAGTCGGTTTTACCAGAGACTGTCACAATTGATAACCCACAGTACATGAAATGCGTCTACCTCTGCGCCAGCTAAATTATAGTAGTGTCAGGCTCGCGGCAGGCTGGAGTGCGTTTTCTGAGATACGTCACAAATATCTTATGCCAAACAATAGCTTTGCTCAATAGGCATTTGAGGTGAACCAAGGCTCCACACGTTAAACATAACTATGTTATTAAGTTATTTGCTCATTACCATGAAATGGCTGGTAATTTTTGAACCAGGTACGCCATATTACCTGTTGCTAAAAGCCTTAACTTGAATTGTTACAATGGAAATGCAAATGTATAACCTATGGTTTACTATTACAGAGCGTTAGTAGTATGTTGTTGCAACTAGCTTTGAACATCTACGATATGTATTCTAAATATTTACTTCGACGAGGACGGAACATAATTACATGATCAAACGAACTTACCTGTAAGTGATGTTTGATCTTAATTATGTGAAGTCCAAGTCGAAGTAAATAGATCCCTCGCTCCCTATATATCACCCAATTGTTGCAACAACTTGGCTTTGAAGTAAATGTAGGTTTAATGGCGGCCAGAGAGGAGAAAGGTAGGGGGAAGGGGCGCGGTGCGCGCTTTGAACTCGTGGCGGTTGGGTACTACTACGAGGTTACTAAGATATGTATTCTAAATATTCACTTCGAGGCGGATTTCACATAATTAAGATCAAACATCACTTACAGGTAAGTTCGTTCGATCATGTAATTATATAGCATATTTTTCATGTGCTGATTATTAAGTGCCAGAAAAAATGGCAAAAATTATTAACTGAACTTTCGTCATGCGAGATACTGCTAGGAAAATGATGGTAAAGGACACACGGAGGTCTATGTACTGTCAATTGGTTTTATCTGCAAAGTATGACAAACGTAATTCAACGCTTTACAAGACAAACAAGTTACAAGGGCTTATGTGTATTTAAATGAACAGGTATGCACTGAACCATAAGACTAAGTTTATTTCTTATGGTTCATTTACCTGAGAACAAATTTTTATCAAGGCATTTTTTTTCTTGAAATTATCACAAAAAAATAAATTAGATTACTTGGCAAGCCTTTGTTAACAGACCATGCTAACCACATGTCTTTGGGATCAATGACACTATCCTAACTATTGATTTTAAGATGCCTAACGTGTTTAATTAAGATTTAGATTAGAAAAAATTAATGCATGATCATTCAATCATTTAAATTCATCAAAATTTCCTGTAACTATTGCAACAATATTTTGACACAAAAATGTAAATCCTTTCAATGATATATCAGTATTGACACCCACCCTATCTAATTTGGACTCTGTCCAGACATTTTTAATAGACTATCCTTAATAGGCAACTAGTTTAATAATAAATGATCTGTATATAATGCAGGACATCGGATCTTGAAAAACATCCAATGTAACATGTTATTTTGATACGAAAATTCCATTCCATAGCCAAAAAACTGAGTCAGTCTACTTGAGGGGTTTTTCAAATAACCTCAAAAACTAAACTTATTTGGACAACCAGGTGCTCGCCGTTTATAAATATTTTTTCCTGGATAGGTGATATAATTTGGGAATATTTATCCGTTTCTCATATCATTTCAGTAGCTGTTATACCATATGATTTGTTTAATATTATAGTGGGAATAATCAACTTTAGCCTTGAAAACTACACGCTCCGATTGATTTAGTGCCTACTATCTTATCGGATGGTGATATTCATATCCTCCAAATATTTATGGCGAAACTGTTCTGTAGAGAGATGGTTATAGAGCGTGACTCGATCCAAAAAGTATCTTACCTGGAACTGGTTCGATTAGTGCCAAAATCGATAATCGATAGCCAGAGGGCTCACTTATCGAACTGGTCAAAATAAATATGTTATAGTAGATTAGTATGGGAGACCCAGGGGTGTGTGATAATTTTTACTTTAAAGAGCATATAAAAAACTAGTATATGCTTATGATTGTGGTATTCAATATAGCTAGTTCCGTGCGCTATGCCAAACAGATATAAAATTGTTGAAGATAATCAGGATCCTTGGTAAATTTGGCGAGAACTGGTACACTTCTTCATGAAATAACTCTCCTTGTATAGAGGTAAATTAGTGTCACATAGATCGAAGTAAGTTGTGACAGTAACATATTTGGGGAGTATAAAGGAACAAACTTAATTCAAACACAACTGTATAATTTTTTATTGAAATAAACGTCCCTCAAAATAATACCTTGTCAAGAAAGGCTTCTATGGTGCAAATATAACTTAAACTGTTTGAGTCCATTATAGGTGTATCATTTATTAAGTATTATTCTGTGTATAACATTACCAGGATATAGCATTTTGAGATCAACTGAATACCAACAGATTGAAAGTGAGTTCCACCAACTATCTAATCCGATAAGTAATTATGATCGTAACCTATGCACTGGACCCTTTTCTCTTTGGTTTTGCTTTTGGAAAAGGTATTAAACTGAACACAGACAGAAACGATTATTTTCTGATTCTTCCTCTTCATCATCGGTTTTGTTTTTGTTATTATTTATCTTCTTTTCTTTAACTTCCTCATAATTGTCCTTGCGTCCTTAACAGGGGTATCAGTGATCACATCAGACTTGATCTTACGTCAATTCTGTTGATTTTCTTATCTTGATGGAGTCTTTTGCAGCAGTATTAGAGCTTCCGGAGAAAATACATTGGCGTGCGGGTTATGAGCTGTAGATGAGGAGACAATATTTTTTGCAGGCGCGTTGACGTTTTTCCACCAGGTGGAATACGTTAATCAACGCTCATATTAATGTTCTTATTTTGGAAGCATCTATTCAAGTTATCGTTAAGATATAGAACATTCCATTTTAAAAAATGCCAAATTATTAAATTTGCTTGCACATTCAGATAGACTCTTCCAAAGGATGAAAATTGATATAAGATACGGACGGTGGACGACAGAAGGGCATGCTCCTTGTAAGGCCAGTGTGTAAAAAGTCTTAATTATTTTCCATGCGATGGAAAATCCCTCCTATTTACACTTCCTTAGATTTTTTACGCCATTCGGAACATTTTGGTTTTTCATAAGAAAGCTATTTTGGTCAAATTCAGTCAACGTTCATCAACACCATAATGTTGATTCTATTATATCGTCCATCCCAGCACCACTTTTTTTCAGACTGCCTTATACGGTTCACCTCCTTTCTGAAGTTAGTGCGTTTTGGTATCGAATTTTTTAACTAATTGCGACTTATCAACATCTGGATAGAATTCTCTATATTGATTGTACTGCTTATGTAAAGAGCCGGAAGGGACCGATACACATCGATACATTCCAAGATAAAATTTCTTTCTTCTTCTTTTCCCTTTACCGCCATCCTTTACCGCACCAGGATGTGTGATAAGACAGAACTGAACCAGTATTGCATAATATTGCCCACAGACAACGCAATATTTACTAGATTGCACAATAAAAATCAAAGTCGTTTTTATTAATTCAATATATTGCGCAGTATTTCAATGTGAGACGGTCAAGATTATTGTACAACATCAGTTATTGTGCAATATATTGGCGATAATATTGATCGTCTAGGGGCCGCTTAAGAATAAGTTGCTTTGAACCGGTTATCTACTTTTTCTTTGCGCATTTTTTCACTAATTGAATAAGACCAAAATAGCTATCAATCGACAATATCACCATTAATGAGTATTCCGATTACTAAACAATTAATTAGTGATAAAACTTCTTTGGACATATGCTTACAATATTATATCATTCTGAATTAAAATATGAGTTAATGACTTTTGCTGATACTGATGTACATGTAATTGTAAAAGTGATTGTAGTATCTCTAACATCACCATTTTTGTCGATAAAAATATAGACGGGAGAAATTAGAAGACATATGTTTTCCTAATTATCATAGTCTCATAATTAGAGGAAGGTGGGCTCAGTGGACCAAGTTTTTTCTAAGCCCTATAACTTAGTAAGTAAATAACCTACATTTTGTTTTTAACAGGTTGGTCGATCGATAGGGCTAATAACTAGAGAAATTCGTATGAATCAAAGCTTGAGCATCAACAGTTTTTCGAAAAAATGTATTTTTAAAAAAGTTACATCTCTTCACTTGATTCAGAATCTACAAAATTTCTTTAGCCTTTTGAACAGCCAGGCCTGTCCTTTTTGCTGGTTTCCTCTTCATGGCCTTCTCCACTGGAATCAGACTGTAAAACCTTCTTTTTAACACGTTTGGTACTATGTTGACGTTGCTTTTGATTCTTCTTAGTCTTCTCTTCTTGACGCTTTTTTTTCATCTATTCCTTATTTGGAGTATCTGTGGCAATCATGGACTTTCCTTTTTTACGTGATGCTTGATTAGTTTTTCTAGGAGCAGCTTTGGGAATGCCTCGGAAATCGAAAGGGATTGAAAATGTTGCTGATAGCTGGAGTATTTGCGCCGGTGTAGAGTTTTCGGCAGCTGATGTTTTTAGGGTTGGAGGTATACGATTTCAACTAATCATATCAGTCAGTTGTTGATACAGTAACTAGATAATGTTCTGGTGCAGGCACAGCAATATAATCTGGAATACCAGGTTGAATGATGGGTGTGGAAGGGGAGTGTTCTGACTGTCCTAAATACGTAATTGGATGTTTTCCATGACACTTTTTTCAGGTTCTCCAGAAATCGCAGTTGCGGAGGGTCATGCAGGCAACAAATGGATTTGTTTTTCAGATGTTACTTCATCGATGTCAGTGATTTTTGTTGATTCTGGATTTACATAAGTGACCATTTGTTTTGTCATTACAGATCTAGGTTGATAGCAAAGTCTACGTCAGAAGTATGTCTCTGTTAAATGATAATATTCCCGTGCATTAGAATGCACTGCAGATGCTAGATGATCTCATTGCATAGGTATGTGCCTTGTTTATACACTGAACAACTTCATAAATCGTAAAGGTTTTTTCAGGACGTCGCATCAACCAGTTCGATAGCTGCGTTATAAGCACTTTGAAATGTTTAAAAACCGCGACGTCAAGTGGTTCCAGTTTTCCTGCTGAATGTGGTGATGCAGTGAGGATAGTTACCCCGTTCTCTTTTGCCAAATTGATGGCTTCTATGCAAATATGAGCCTCATAATTGTCCACGATTAATAAAGAAGGATTTTCTTTGCTACTTTGTGAATACTCGATGAAGTGCTTTATAGTTTGCCAGCTCCAGCAATCATGTGCTGTTTAAAGTGTACCCGTGGAAAGAGCATCACAGCGGGAAGTACATTTTCCATATCGTTGACTATGTAACACACTGTCACTAGTATTCCTTTTTCAACACTTGTGACTTTACTAACCTGTTTCCGTCCTCTGACAGCTAATACCTTCCCCGATTTCTGGACTGTCATCGTATTTTATTTTGCCAAATTGAATATTCTTCTACCACCTCCGAAAGATTTGTTTATTAAAATACCGGTCTCGAGATTATCAAAAAATAATCTAACATTATGCGTACTGAATGCTGTAGCTCTACTACCTTCAGGTGTATGCAGACTTAAAACTATGTCGTTTTCTGAAGCCGTAGTACCATTCGATACTAGCTGTTTCTTATCATGCCATCTCTGTGGTACTCAAACATTGTTGATGCGAGCCATATCATACGCACGCTGGCAAAATTATTTCGGTGTTAATCAGTAGAATATTTGTACTAGTAAATATTTTGTTCAATTAATAATTTGGTGTGAATCTCTGGTTACCGTCATCACATAAAGCTTTTTTGTGGTACTATTGCAAAGTAGTATAGGAAATTTATGCCAGTCTGGCGATTTCTCTTATTTTCTGTCCACCTAGAATAAGATTAATGGTCTTCATCCTCTCCTTGGAAATAGTCCCGATTTTTTTTCTTTTACGGTTTCGTGGCATTTCAGTCTGTAATAATTACCAAAATACGTGTTAATCATTCACCTACCATGATGGGTTGCAGTGGATCGCAGTGGGTCGCAGTGGATCGTGATCCACTGTACCCCGGTTCACTCTTACCCAACATGCCATATTTGAAAACATGAAGGACTTTGATGATAAACCTAACCTACAAGAAAAGCAACAAACGCTGTTTTGAGATCATATTTGACCATTATTCATAATGCATCATCTTTGTTAGTGCTTTTTGAAACACTTGAAAATATATGCCGCTCGTTATAAGTACGTAAAGATTTAGATTTCATTCTTACTGATTGCACAATGTCCTTGGCGCGTCTCTCAGCAGCGTGCTCGTGTCAGATAATGGCGGATAGGAAATGCAGGATATAGATGGCACGTTTGGCAGATATTTCGAGCTTAAAAACATAATTATATATATATATATATATATATATATATATATATATATATACACGTTGATCCACTGTATACCAGGGCCCACTGTCTGTACCCCATTTTCCCCTACTCTATAATTATTGCTGCTCCGATCTCAATGTGATAAAACAGCTGGTGTGGGCATACCAATGTATCGCATATTTATCACTCGATCGTGCTCTTAGGTACAATACAGGAGTTTTGTAATGCACAAAGCAAACCATTTTGTATGATGGTTGAACGAATGATGAAAACTAATGCACAATCATGTAAAATTAATTGTTTACTATGGATTTATAACGTTTTTTATCGTCGTTTTATATCTCACGCCAGAGGATAGGAAAATATCGTAATTATATGTTATTACTTTTGGTATTTAGTTGTTATGTACTTTGATGAGAACACTGATACTTTGTATGTTATGTGTAAACTACCGATAACTAAAAATGGGTTAAGAAATAGAAGCTGGGTCATATAGCGAAAAGATAAATGAATATTAGACCATCATTGCTTATTCTGTTCCCTAGTCTGATAACGTACCTCAAGTAATAGTTGTAGACACTTTTGCAATGGAAGTTATAAAGGGTGTCTCAGAAATATTTTCGTTTTTAGATCAGTCCTCTGGCGGAATACGCATGCTCCGGAGAAACGAGACAGTTGACAAACGTTTGGCAACATTGTTAAATTTTAGTTGCAATGGAGCGTTTTACAGGGCCGCAACGTGCTTTTTGTGTTCGCGAGTTCTATAAAAACAAGGATTCTTATGTGCTTGTACGTCGTTTGTACAGAAATCATTATAACATAGCAAGAATGAGAGATGTCCCAAGCGCAAATTTAATTAAATATTGGGTAAGAAAGTTCGAGAGCACTGGAAACACGTGTATTAGTAAACCGCCTGGACGGCCAAGGTCAGCAAGATCGAACGAAAATATTGAACGTGTGCGCCAGTCCGTTAACGAGGATCCCCGGCAATCATTAAGACTGCGTGGAGCGTCTCTAACTTTGCATAAGTCAACTGTTCATCGCATTATTCGCAAGGATTTGCATTTTCACCCATACAAGATTGTTGTTACACAACAATTAAAACCACAAGATCCCGCTAATCGATTAGAGTTCTGTAGAACAATGAGAGAGCATTTTAACGGTTACAACAACATATGGTTTTCTGATGAATCGAATTTTCACATTAACGGGCCTGTTAATAAACAAAACTGCCGATATTGGGCCGAGCAGAACCCGCAAAATCTTCATGAGACGCCATTACACTCGCCTAAAGTTATCGTCTGGGCTGCTATGTCAGGGCAAGGAATCATTGGCCCGTATTTTTTTGAAGACAATCATGGCCAAGCTCAAACTGTAACATCTGAGCGCTACTGCCACATGATTAGGACTTTTTTAACTCCAGCTATACAGAACCATGGTGGCTACAATAGAAACACGTTTTTCCAGCAAGATGGAGCGACTTCTCATGTCACGAATGAATCCTTGGATGCTCTTCATCAGTTATTCCCAGAGAGGGTCATCAGTCGCAGAGGAGACATTAACTGGCCACCGAGAAGTCCCGATTTGACACCAGCAGATTTTTTCTTATGGGGATACCTGAAGAGTAAGGTATACACCCCACCGCCACAAGATTTGAGAGAGTTGAAGCAAAAAATAACAGATGAAATAAACGCCATTCCTCGAGCAATGCTTCGGAGAGTGATCGAAAACTTCAGTTCGAGATTAAGAGAGTGTGAAAACATGAACGGTGCTCATTTATCCGATACTCTTTTCCATAAATAAAATTAATGTTTAGGCTTTCGTTTGGTAATAAATTTATCTTTGTAAAAATATTCTAAGTATTTTTATTTATGGCATAAAATAAGAAAATATTTATGAGACACCCTTTATTTATACATACATTTGGTTAAACATATCGTCTTTTCACATTCAGTACTTCGACGATACATCTTGGAATTTTAGTGATGTGATCTTCAAGAGTAGTTGTTTTAAATTGCACTTGCATCTATTTTGACATCGTTTCAGAGCAGTTTTTATGGTTTTATGACTGCCCGAACCAGTTCATTCCAAAGAAACTCGATCATATTGAGATTGGGGACGCCCCTAGTTTTCAATCATTGTGGTCCAACCATTATTTGAGCAAACAGTCTTTATATAGTTCATGAACACGACTTTCTCCACTTGAATTCATACATCCAGAACACCTTTTTGATGCCACGAGAACCTAATTCTTTGAGTTATGGTCCACTGAAATCAAAAAGACAAACTTCTTGTGTCGATACTACCAACGAAAACGTTGGTCTCGTGTACAAAATCAGAATCTGCTTGAGTTGATACAAAATCGGGATTTTTGATAAAAAAAAGCAGTAATGCCCAGCTGCGAAGCAGGAGTACAGTTTCATGACGATCCTCAGACACTTTCATTCAACGTTGTCTCTCCGTTGCGAAAGATTGACATAATCATTAATGGAAAAATGTAACACAAGACTTACAGGAACAGTATTCGTTATAAGACCTAGAAAACAGAAACACTCATTCAGATTGCAAAAATCATTGTTTGTTCAGAAAACAAACAGGGTGGTAAAGTATAAATAAGAATAAGAATAAGAACATACAGCTATAAATTGAAAAATACGTAAAACCAGTATACAGGGTGTAAACGTTATGGTAGACATTATCGAAATGGGTAATAGGGGGGGTCAAAATAAATAAAAAAGTTCATATGACCCATGGTCCAAAAGTCAATAGATTTTTATCTAAATGGCTTGATAGTTTACAACGTTATGTGATTTATATCGACCACAATCACCACAATCTTACTAATTTTTATAATCTAAACTAAAACGTTTTTAAATTGGGTAATTAACAAATAAATGGCATTGACTTTTTCTAAGTTACGCCAAAATTTGTAGTCAGTAAGTAAGTTTCATTAAATTGAATATTTGAAACACACATGACAACAGCGCGTCGGTCATTATCACTCTTATCGATCCGGCAATCGATTGCAAACGGTAACCGTGGTTAGTTATCGGGCATCAGGGTGTGTTGTTTACAATGTTCTCGAATCAAGAGTCCGCCGACATGTTGTTAGTTTACGGTGAAGCTCGTCAGAATTCAAATCTTGCAGCTCAAATTTATCGCGACAGATTTTGCCAACTGGTACACCCAGACAGAAGGACATTTGTGCAAGTGTACCAAAGACTTCGAGATACAGGAAGTGTTCAGCCCACTAATATTCTCTAAACAATGCCGTTTTGACCCCATGTTATATGAAACTTTTTGCTTCTTTTAACCCCCTCTATCTCCCGTTTAAATAATGACTATCACAACGTTTACACCCTGTATATTCTCGAACACTTTGGTAACGGTAGTGCTAAGAACAATCGCAAGTACTTATATCATAAGTGAGAAGGAGAGCTTTTCATCAAGAAGATGTGTGAATATAACTGATGCTGTAAAAGCATCTAATGTCATTATTTGAGGTACATACAGGGTGACTTCGAAGTTGAGTCATTTATTTTAACAGTGAATAGATCTGATCAAAAGAAATGTTTTTTTCCTTTACCATTTTTCTGGTAAAATTAAAGTAACAAAGTTATAGCCCTTTGGAAGTTTGAGTACCGCCCTGTCTCAATATCATGTGCTCGTGTTTGGCAACAACGGATATAATCCGCCTTACCGGTTCATCGCATCGGAAACAAAAAAGCGAAAGAATTTGGAACGATGTTTGTGTACAGTTTATTATTTTATTCAGTTCAGTTATACATACAGTCAGTATCAGTGTCGCGTGTGAATACTGTCTGTTACGTGGCTCAAACGAAATAAAAAATGGCACATGTTTATGCGGATCGGTTTCCCAATCGAGTGCAACCAACCCCTCGTGCCTTTGTTAATGTAGTACAACGGGCTCGTGAATCAGGTGACTTAAGACCTCACAGGGGACCTCACGATCAAATACAGGTCCGCACTGAAATACTTGTCGGGAGGATACTTTATAAAACAAGGTAAAAATTTTTTTTTAATTTTTTTTTATTTTTACACACATATTTTGGTTTATCTTCCTTCTACAATCATTATCTGAAAATTAATGACTCAACTTCAAAGTCACCCTGTATACATAAAATTTTATTCCTCGGTATGACCTTCCTTCCATTTCTTTTCTCAGCTTTGAGGATTAAGCTTCGGGAATATTTAAATGGTAGTGTGTCTTCAGAAGAATTGCTACCTGACACTAATGAAATTCGAAAGGATATTCGGCAGATATTTTGTTCCCAATTTTGAACTTGTAACTAACATACAAATACTCACCATTTCATTTTTCAAATGCTTTTCTTGAAGCATACTTTTTTGTTTCAGATGTATGGCCGGTATAGCCGGCAACTGGGAGAGTTTGCAAAATTAGAAGGATTAAAAGCTCAAGAAAAAAGAAGGCTGAAAGAAGAGAAAGCTCGAAAAAGGGAGTTGAGAGGGTATCAAGGTACGGTGTATTTGAACAAAATATATTCAACAAAACGACTCCTAAAGAAAAAGCTCTTATAGTGTTTGGAATTACTTTTGTTTTATTTTCAAATTATTTTAAAATAGTATCTTTCCTTGGTCGTTTTCTAAATATAAACAATCAAACTTTCCTGTACAAGTAGATGTGTCATATTTTTAACAAAACAGTAAATTCCTCTAACATTTTTATGTAAGCTATTTATTACCCGGTTTCATTTCGAGTTATTTTGATTCCAGGCAATGCCTTTTTTTAAAGTAAAAGGACTTAAGAAAATTGCTTTAATCAATCTAAAATATTTTAATGGTTGAACCTCAGATATCAAGTTACATACATTATTCTAAAGATTATTTGAAAAAACGATAAAGATTAGTCTTCGTCTCAGAAAATCCTTGCGATACTATGCCTGCATGTATGTACCTTTTATCGTAAGCATACCTAGTAAATAGCCTTGTGAAACATCTTGTTAACCTTATGAAGGTGGTAACTATGATATTTGTATTACAGGTAAAATAGCCAAATTCATAGCTTATCTATGGAAGCACACATTTGCAAGACTAGGAGAAGACTGGGTCTTTTTGACTTTATTAGGAGTCATTATGGCTGTGCTTAGTTTTATTATGGATAGAGGAATATCCATGTGTAATAATGGTTAGTGTTACTGTGGATTATTAGTTGTGCTGAAGTAGTTCAAAACCTCAACGTTAAATTATTGAATTTGTGATTGATTTTGAGGCCAATATCTCGGAATCTTGTAGAGTATAAAAAGTCATATGGCAGTAGCTGCTTTATTTAAAAAATATCGTAAGGATCACTATACGAAGATACATCTCTTCAAAACTCGCCACTGCAAAATATCTTATCTTTAATATTTTCTGCTCTAACTACACTGTATACAAAACCAAATTTGTCTGATGGCTTGAGTTCAATGTGTACTAGAGAGAAGTGTGTTAGAAAAAGATAGAAGCCGGCTGGATAGCAAAGTTCATCACCGCTTTGCCTAGCAACGCTGACGCGGCAATCTGCCGCGTTGCCAACATATTACACCAGCTCCTTGAATTAAGATGCATGTTGAAAATATGTGTTAGTTTATTCTCTACGCCTAAATAATGGTTTTATTTTGAGCGTACACATTTTTGGATTGTGAATTGTGTCGAATCTGTTTAGGATCGATTCCGGATCGCTAGATCGAAATTGGTTCACCTGTCAACACCGCAGCTCGTTTATTCCAAGGCAAGGTTCCCACCTCCATGATCATAGATGAGCGATTTTGCTCAGTACCCATCTAGTGCTCATTGGGGCATGTCGTCCTGCTTCGAAATGGTTTTCTCCTGCGTACACACAGGTAGTGATAATTTGTATTGCGTAATAGTATTTGTTACATTTTCCGACCGCTCGCTGTCGCACAATGTAACAATAGCTCTGGAAAATTGCATCACCATCGGTGGAAATCAAAGATAATTCTAAATTAAATTAAAAAACCAAGTCACATCAAATATGAAATAAATAATTCCAATTAACAAAAACATAAATGTTCGAACAGACCTTCTTGGGTTTGACAGTAAACTAAGCTATTGTAGAAGCCTGAACAAACATTTTCTGGATTGCTAGACAATGTGGTGATGCCCTTCACTCTTGAGCCGGCTTCTATCTCTTTCTAACATGTGTTGTTACACAGTTATCCCGCTTCTCTCTCGTATACATTGAACTCAAGCCGTCAGACAAATTAGGTGTTCCCTGTATAATATTGGACCGACAGTGATATTTTTGGAAAACGCTAGCACCTACGGTTTTTTCAACCCTTACTATATAGGGTGTAAAAAAAATGAGCTCAGCTATGTTAGAACAACCTTATCTCTAACAATCTGAATGGGTTAACGATCTTTATGGACACCACCACGTGAGAGCTCAAACCCCATTTGGTTATTAGGTACTGCCAAATTTCCTTTCATACAATGTTGTGCAAGAGTAATACAATAGGTTACTATGCGTTCAATGTTACGCTGAATTATATGACTCTCAGATGTGTTAAAAAAAGTTTATGTTTCACTAATCTTATTATATAACGCCAGTAGTCTTACTCCATTGAATGTTTATTCGAGGTGTTAATGAGTATTTTTCCTACCAACAGCAAGATTATGGTTGTACAAAGATCTGACGTCACATCCAGCAGCTCAGTATGCATCCTGGGTAGCTTTACCTGTGTGTTTAGTACTATTCAGTGCTGGATTTGTACAGCTAGTAGCACCTCAAGCAATAGGTAACTATCAAGTAGCGTCCACAAAACAGGTCAAGTAGATTGTCACTGAAAATCAAGTATTGGCCTTAGAGTTGAGGGTGGAACATCATAAATTTCATCTTAACTTCTCGAATAAAACCGCGTGTCATTCAAATTGCCTTCAGTCTTTTTCGTCGAGCAAGCATTTTTTGAGAATGAGCGTTAGTGCCTCTCAGAGAGCCCGTCACTACATATTTTTTGATCAGCTTAAATTAGCAAGCTGGAATTCGAGATGGATACTATATTTTGTTGTAAAAGGACAGATTAGGACTTCAAGATGGCTGCTAGGTCCAAGCAGCTTTATAATTATAGACTTAGATTATTCTAAATGAGCAATGTTGCTCCGGGCGACCCAATAATAAAAGACGCCGATTATATCTCAGCAACGGCTTAACCTACAGTCACCCGTTAAAAAAATCCATGACAAAAGTGGCTAAGGGAAATTTGTGGAAAGTATTTTCAGGTTTCTAAAATAGCCAATGAGGGGCGTATTTTCAATTTGAAATATTCTAACGCCATTATATTACATATTTATTTTCTAAAAATTTTATTCAAAGCATATTTTACATTCTCTCTCTCCATAACGAATAAAGATATTGATCTGCAGTTTTCGCTATTTCATAGGATTTTTATGCTCTTTCCGAGCAATAATAATAAGTATACCGTTGTGTTTCAAATTTTCGAAAAGAAAAAAAAACAATGACACTTCCATGAAACGCTATCTAGTGGCCACAAAGTGAAATAATTTGACAAGATTGGGCTATGAGTAGGAGCACAGAAACTAAAATCATGAAAATCGGTTTCAGCCAAACAGAAGTTATATTACTTTTTCAGAAATAACCCTCAACCCTTCCTCCACCCTAAATGAAACAAAATATGGAAAAATGGCATTGATGAAAGTTCCATAATTGAGCAATCAACATAATAGAGTTATTAAATCAGTACGTTAATTACGCATTTTTGCAAAATAATGGCGTTTGCATTTTTTTGTTATGAAATATTTTAACGGATAGGTTAAGCCGTTGCTGAGATATAGCGTCCTGACATTTTCCTGACAGAATGTCCCATTTCTTATTTGAATATATTCTTCCATTAAAAGAAAACTCGTATAACATACTATAGCGTTTTAATAATTAGATGTAGAGTTATAAGCGATTCAGTGTACAAAAAATCTCAACTGTGACAGCCTGCCAGTCGAAGATTTTGAAAGAATATATATATTCTGGGTTATAAAATACCTACTCATAAGCAGCTTTTACATCCGGTTGATATAACATAGCATATTGATAATACGTTGTTGAGTTATAAACGATTTAATGTACAAAACTCAACTTTTACCCTCAGTCCACCATTTAAAAAAATATCGATTTTATGTTACAAGATGGCGTTCAACCTCCTCGACTACCACAACTACGTTAAGGAGTGGTATTCATGCATTAATTTTATCATCGCAAATTTCAACTTGCTAACATAACAAAAAATAAATGGGGAGATGGACCTTTTTGAAATGCACTGTACATGTATTACCGCACCATAATTTTATCTCTTATGAAATATGGAGCCCAAATTTCATTAAACGGATGTTGAAAATGTTTGAAAATTTCAAAAAAAAAAATTGAGTTCTTGAATGTACTTTAAGTCCATCACGCATGTTGCACTCGAACACTGACGAGTTTGGTCTCTTTCTCGAGTCTCCATTACGTTTTGACGTCTATTGAGCTGAATAGCGAATTACAAGTAATATCTTTGTAGTAAAATCCGTAGTGTTGGCAATTTAAGGATCAGTTGTGATTCTTATAAAACTCAGGATCATACCCAGAACTGTTCATATCAAATATAATCAAAAACTGCTTATCATATTTTATTCGTACCTGACTTGGAGTATAATCATGATCATTAGCAGCTATTTTGCGTTAGGTGTTTTGTCTTCTGCGGAGGAAGTTTTTCGATAAAATTAATCTCTAGTGCACAAAAGACCACAACAAAATTCGACTCCGTATACAGATCTAGCGTTGACAGATCCTTCAGAATTGTAGGTCCTCGATCTAAGTATATTGGGTGTTTTAAAATGTTACTAGATAATCTGCCATTATTTTCTGTCACAAATATTAAATGTCTGTACTCAAAAAACGCCTGCTCGACAAAGGCACGTTGAAGTGGATGATTGCTATTAAAATCACAAAACTGAATAATTCACTACCCTATGATGCCATTCGGGGGCATCCATCTTTTATTAATGCTGCTTTATTTAAAAAATAGCAATAAGCTACATTGATGCTTAATATTATTATTTATTATTTCTATTATATATACTCGGTAGATAAATAAGAAGATTTACCTATATTTAACTGTTTTCTCGTATCATTGTATTGTCTTAATGTATTTTTAAAACCTTGCTGTTTGTGGTTGGGCAATAGGTTTTTGGGATTCTATGTCATGATTATATTGTTTGTATATGTATATCAAGCACATAACCATTGAATTCAAATGAGCTTAATTAAATGATATATGAAGAAAATGCCCTTACCGTGTGTCTGATACTGATCTGAAGTTGCTATATGAATCATATTATTTAAAAGTTCTTACATAAAGAAGTGAGTGCTCGAAAGCACTCAAAATGAGAAACTATTTTTCAGTTATCAAAAATGATTTTACGAAGAGTAAAAGATACGAAGTCGCTTGAATGGGGGGTGAAATTGCATAACTAGGTAATCTTAGAGAGTTTCTAAATTCAAAGTTCTTCCGGAGAGATACGGAAAAACACGAATTTTCCCAAGATCGTTATAATTTTCTCCTGACTTCAATTGTAGTGGGAGTTCAAAATAAATTGCACATTAATATTGCCACTTTTTTCCTCTACAGGATGGCATAATTAGAATGTCGATATGACGTTTCGTCATTTTTAGTTCTCCAGCATCAACTTTATTTTTTCTTGTGGACGCCATATTGGATTTTTGTGCATGTGGGTGGAGTTTTTAATTCTGATTTCAAAAATGTATCATATGTCACAGATTGACGTTACCAAACCTTAGTTATTTCAGAAAAACAGAATTTCCTAGGTAGGCCGTGAAATTATCAGATTAATTTCATTATTTGTTTCGTATACCAGGACAGACCTCATATTAACATAGCAACAGAGTTTGGACAAGAAGAGAATTAAATCGAGCAGTGAACAATCTACAGAGAAGAGTCAGGCTTTGCCCACACAATGCCGGACATTTTGAGCATCTGCTATGATTTACCTCTGCATATGATTACTATTGTTATTGCCATCAGTAAAATGTTCATGTTGTATTCAGGTTTTATCATACCTTTGTATTTCCTTATAATTTTCATGCAACAAAAAATTCATGGCCAACTAAGGGAATAATACATCACTGAATTTACGGCTGAAAGGTCAATTTAAATGTACAAAATGCCCATATAGCGTCTATATGAAAAAACAAAGCTGACGGTTGTCGAAAAAAAATGTCGAATTGAAAATTTGGCTTCACCATCTTCTACATGAGGATAAGTAAATTTGGCAATGCCAATGTATGATGTATGATACATTTTTGGAATCCGAATTGAAACTATTCATCTGTGCAAAAATTCAATATGGCATCTGTAAGAAATAATAATGTTGATGCTGGAGTACCAGAGACGAAAAGTCATATTGAAATTCTAATTATGCCATCCTGTGAAGAAGAGAAAGTGGCAGTGTTGATGTGCAAGTTAGTTTGAAATACTACTACACACAACTTACAGTTTGAGAGATTCCAGTGATGAGGTTGAATTTGAAACATCAGGTATATAACAGTGTATTGTATGTAATCGCGAAGTCTCATCGATTACATAATCAGCAAATATTGCCTGAATTGGTTTGGCAAAATTATGATTTGATTTATCAATTTGCAAATCAACAAGCATATGTTAATGAGCAAATACATAGTTTATTGTTTTTCCGCCAGACGTAAGTGTGATTTCATGGATCATATTTTCTAGGATCGGGGATACCAGAAATGAAAACGATACTGAGAGGAGTAGCTTTAAAAGAATATCTTACATTCCGAACCTTAATAGCTAAAATAGTAGGATTGACAGCAGTATTAGGCAGTGGAATGCCCTTAGGTAAGGAAAACATTGCAAATATTTGCGGTCTTAGAATATACCAACCCTATAGTCTCATAATAGAAATTTAATGTTCTTGTTTGATTTTCACCCTACTAACTTTTTTGAGAGAATAATCACGTTCATTAGAAACTCCGATCTGTAGCACTCTGGCTTTGATTTAATTATTTTGGGTTGTGATATTTATTATTAAAAATGTGTTACTTAGTGGCTAACTATATATAGGATGGCCTAACAAACAGTATCAAAATTCTAGACAAGGAGGTACAACTAAAAACAACATAAAAAGTTCATGTTTCTATTTCTATTTTTTATGTCAATAATGCTACTGATTGGGGATAAGGATGATTATTCCTCAAATAGCATTATAGTGAGGTGGGATTACTACCCAATATGCCACAAGCAATTTTTAGTGTGAAACTTCACTTGCATCAGCGGATTTTCAAGTAGAACTGATTCACTAACTATCCAAGGGGAATGACCTGACATATTTTAGAAGAGACAATTGACGTGAAATTAAATAAAAAGTCAGTTTCTAGTGGTCAAAATAACACAATTATTAGACCACTAATATAGTTATAGTCCCGAAAATGTACGTTTTTGGGATTGTGACATACCAAAGGACTGACGTTTTGAGGATTTTTAAATTGTATGAGACATATTAGTGCTTAAAAATAAATTCTAATATGATGATTCGTCATTACCATGGTAAGTGAACAGTACTTTGAGTGGTTGTAATTTCTTCAAGAAATTACCTACCTTCAAACGAAGTTAAACTAATTTCTGTCAAACTCGTACAAACTAACAATTTGTGTTGTCTTAATACTTTAATACATAAATCTTGTTTAATATATCACTCCGTGCAATTTTTTGAACACGAGAATGACAAGATTGACTAGAGAATGACAACTTTGAAAAAAATTCAAAAAAGTTAGTAAAGAAACCGAACGAATATATTTTAAGCGAGTAAAACAGCGTGAACGGGAAAGACGGAAAAGAATGCAAGATCCATATGAAAGCCAGGAACAGAAAACAAAATACAGGGAAAAACAATTAAAATAAAAGCAAAATAATGTAAAATAACGTTGGCAACATCACCTCCATGGAAGTACGATAGATACGGAACAAATGGAAGGCAAATTCCAAGAAGTATGAATTAAGGAAGATTATGCTATTCCTACTAAACAATGTTTCTATTGTATGAGTTTGGGGGGGGGCTGTATGGAAGAGTCAGACCAACCTGATTATACGAGTATGCTGCTCCCTTTCCTGTCTTGTGTATTAACTTTGTATTAATCGAATTAATAAAGACACATAAATAAATACAGTTCATTCATCTGAGATTTATGTACTTTCTATTTCGAAATTATAGTTTCGACAACCCTGTATCTTAATTAGGGGTCGTTTTAGGACCCGTGTTCATAAAAATTGTTGGGCTGCTGTTACCTATCTAATTTGATAACTAATTGTAATAATGTTTAATATGGGCGCACCATAATTTGTACATAGTTTCACATACAGTATGCTACCACCAACATTTCCCAACTCCAGTATTATAGCGAGAGTAAATAGCACCACTGGCTAAGAGACATGTTAATCTATCCACCGATCTTCGCTTCATGGGTGTTACCAGGTCTACCGATTCTTAGGTAGATCCACAAGCAGATCTATAAATTTTAGTCCCGATCTACCGAACCGATATTTTTTTACAAAATCTAACGGGAAAATGATCTTAATCTTTATTGCAAAAGTGATACTACATAGATTGTTTTTATCGAAAATTGTTTCTTTTAATTAGACATAAGATTGAGGCTGTTGATTTCTCTATTGTTCTTTTGTTTTGATACGCTTTAGTTTGGTTAATGATGTACGTAAATGCATTTGTTTGTACTTATTCCATCTATCGTAAAATTCTACCAAAAACAGATCGTCTGCACCTGGCAACACTGTTGCCTTATCACGCACTGCTGGGTACCATCGAGGGAGTGCTGCTATTTACGCTGATTTAATATTGCCAGAATGATTTAGCTAAATAGTATTCGCGGTAACATATTAAATGAGTGTGAGCTCTAGAGACCCTTCCACAGTTTTCTCCAAATCAGAATTTGATTCACTAATCAGGTATTTGTATCTAATCTGTGTGCTGTGTAGGTAAAGAAGGTCCTTTCGTACATATAGCTAGCATATCAGCAACTTTACTTAGTAAGCTGGTGACGGGCTTTCAGGGAATATACGAGAATGAAAGCAGGACCACCGAAATGCTAGCCGCAGCTTGTGCCTGCGGCGTTGCCAGCTGTTTTGCCGCTCCTGTTGGAGGTAAGTAAAAATAAATATCAGTATACATTTGTAGCAATAGGATATCCCACTATAAATTGAACCCTCCTCTATTTTATAATATCGTTTAGAAAAAAATATATACAAATGTTGTAGGATCTAATATAAGGTTTTTCATGTTATATCTTTATCAGAAGAGTGTTAAGTTGTATTTTATAAATGAATGACCATATATGTATAATGTTAATAGAAATGATAGTCGCCCTTTTCCTGATTCCAAATATATTTATATGATTCATTTTGTTTAGTTTGGTCAAAAACGCAAAAACAAAGTGATGAATGTATGTATATTAAACCATTTACCGGGTGTCCCGACCAAAATGGAAAGTTGTTAGTACAGAAAAACTATAAAAGATGTTTAAAAATGATCTTCGTAATCATATTGATATCTCATAGGTACATATTTCAAAGTTATTCGGAAATATACAAAACAATTCCGTGGCACAAACATAATTTTGTTAATACTCGTATAACACCATATTTTATAAGGTATTTGAAAAGACCATTCCAAAATAAAAAGGTTTATATAACACCTTTAACGAATCTGCATGTTGCCATTAAAATTGTTTTGTGGGTTTTTGAAAAAAGGGTCTTATGAGCTTTTCTCAAAAGTTGATAGTTTTCGAGATAAAAGTGATTTTTCATTTAAAAACGTGCGAAATGTGCCAGTCCCGGCCAAAAAAAAAATATATGAAAAAAACAAAATTTTGATGTCGCCAAAGTTTCTAAATAGTACGAGAGTCACTATTTATATTTTAAAAAAAGCTAATTTGTCATTGAAAGTCACTTTACTGCTTTTCAGAATATTCTCCATTATGATCTATACACTTTTTCATGCGTTCGAACCATCTTATATTTATATGTGTGGAATTTTGTGGAATTTCAAAAAAAACGTGATAACGAACTTTCAATCGCATTAACAACTAAACCATCAGGTTTAGGGCTGGTTTTTGTTCTGAGTTGAACTAAATGGTTATTTTCAGCAATAGTTGTCACTTTTCATCAGAGCTTATTAGAAATCAACGCAAAAAATCTTAAATTCATTTTTTTGTGAAAAATCTCTTCCACCACTCAACCTTGGAGGACGGTAAAAAAAATTGATGATGTATTTCATTATCCATTTTATTGTAAAAACTATTTCAATCCAAGTAGAATAAACCCTGGAAATTTCAGCTTGCTACGATGAGTATATCATGTGTCACATTCGTTGTTGTGATGGGATAAACGTAAGAAACGCAATAGAATCCTAACCACCTACAAGTGGTTTATTCTACATGGATTGAAATAGTTTTTACAAATAAATTTGATGAAGCAAAAATAAAAATTATGGAAAACACAAATTAATTTTAAAAACTAAAGGATAATTTTATTAGAAAGTGTCGCTTGTGTATAGAAGATATTGGCGGCCATTTCGAACATGTTCTTTAAAAGTTAGTTAAATTAAATTATTTTCCACATTTGTCGGTAAATCGCCATAAAGAGCGGCTAAACACAATAGGTTCTGTACTTGTAGGTGGTATGGATTCTATTGCGTTTCTTACGTTTGTCGCATCACAATAACGAATGTGTGCATCGTAGCAAGCTGAAATTTTCAGGCTTTATTCTAGATGGAAAAAATAGTTTTAACAATAAAATGAATAATGAAATAAAACCTCAATTTGTTCTACCGTCCTCCAAAGTTAAAGGATGGAAGAGATTTTTCACAAAAAATTAATTCAAAACTAACCATTTAGCTCATCTTGGAAAAAAATCACAGCCCTAAACCTAATGGTTTAGTTGTGATTGCGATTAAAAGTTCATTATCCATTTTTTTCGAAGTTTCACAGAATTGCAAATATCTCCTGAACTATAAAATGTCGGACCACACCTATAGGGATAGGTTTTGAAATATGCCAACACAGCAAACTAACTCTGGATTATTTCATTAATATCTTAGAGTACCTTTTCCAGAACAATTATTTCACCTTTAATAACAGTGTTCTCACAAGCACATGGTTGCCCCTTGGGCTCAGTGTTATCTCCTATTTTGGCAGAATATGTGATGGATCACCTGCTTGATATTGTTATTCAGGTATTGCCATATAATCTAATCTTTATAAAAAAATATGTGGATGATATTGTTGAAGCTCTTAACACCTATGATCCCTACATCCAGGTCACCATCGAAAAAGAAGATGATAATCAATCAGTTCCCTTTTTGGATTTAAGATAATATATTACTGGTAGACTGGTACAGGAAACCAATTTCCTCTGGAAGGTTCCTGAACTTCAGGTCGTACCACGAACTTAAAATAAAGATAAACCTAGGGAAACAAGTGAAGAACAGGGTAAAAATCTCTGACAATACTTTCCATCTTTCCAATTTAAGGAAGCTGTCAGTCTTATTCATGAATAATGGTTATCCAAAGTATTTGGTTAACAGAATCCTGTTCAGCTCTCTTCCTAGTATTTTGCCAATTTCGAATAACAATAGTGACAATGACAACACTGTCCTGTCCAACCCAACACCCATTAATTCTTCAACTAATGAGAATGGAAGCACTACAGTAGATGCTTCTGTTTCCAGAGTTAATTATGTTGTCTTGCCATACATCAAAGAATTAACACCAAACTTAATCAGGCTGTATAATTCCTCAAATTGTCGTTTTGTTTGTAAATCGGTTCTCACAGTCAACAGTGTGTTTTCCAAAATGAAGGATAGGGTTCAGTTGCTTGATTCAACCAACACTGTCTATCGCATTAATTGCAACAACTGTAATTTAGTTTATATAGGCCAAACATCGAGATCACAAAACTCACGCCAGATTACATCCAGAGAGATGTGCTTTGGCATCACATATTAACACCACAGGTCATTCTATGAATTATGGCAGTATTAAGGTTCTTGACAAGGAACAAAAACTCTCAAAACATCGAAACATCTTTCATAACACATTTTCCACTCTGCTTGAGATATCTCCAAAACATACTTTATAAACATGCCGACGAAAGACATCGTCCACGCAATTTATTCTTAACGTACGGGAACAAAAAGAAGTCATTGCGTGCCAAGTCGCGACTGTATGGCGGATGACCCATTAAATCAATATTCTAAATGCTCAAATAGTCCATTGTTTCACGACAGAAGAGCTCGCATTGTCTTGATGAAGAATGGTCCGACGACGCTTGTTGGTTTTCTTTATTTCACCGAAGACTTTCGGAAGACAAACGGTTGTGTACCATTCAGAATTAACTGTTTTACGTTGTTATTCCCACATGACCAGTTTTTTCGAAAAAACAGGCGACCATTTGTCTCGAAGTGCTTCGACGAACCTTTGTCGGATTTGGCTCGTCTTGAAACACCCATACAGTCGACTGCTGTTTCCTTTCCGGCTCATAAGCATAGGTCCATGCTTCATCACCTGTTACAATCTTGTACACGTCTTTTGAAGCACCGTCGTTGTATTTTTCGAGCACCAATTGACACCCGCCTCTTTTTAAGCTTTTGTCAAATTATGTGGAATCCAACAAGAACAGACCTTTTTCACAGCTAAATGATCATTATATGTCACATGACGATCTTGTATTGTTAATTTTTGCACAGCATCAATGTCTTCTGGCACAACAATTGATTTTGGGCGTCAGTCACAACTTTCGTCACCAAGAGAATGGCGGCCACGATTAAATTCGTTATACAATCGTTCCACAGTGGCATAATGGGGATTCATCACCAGAAGTCGAAGTAAGTTGATCGATGCATTCCTGCCTTGATAATCCACGTCGAAAGTCGTAATCGATCATCGCACGAACATTTTCCGGAGTCAATTCCGTTTTTTCACTGAGACACAGTTTTCAAATCACTATCAACAGCATAAATCGTGCTGGAATGACAAAACGTTCTGACGAAGATTATGTTTAAAAATGTCAAACTTGCAATTGGAAACGTCAGATGGAGCCTAAGCACACTTGATGGCCGAGGCTCAAAATATAAATAGTGACTCTGGTATTCAGACACCGACGTAATAGCATTTTATGGGTATTCTTTGTTTTTTAATAGTTGATTGTCTGGTTACCAATATCAACCTCAGATAAGGCATCATGAACACTTTTTTCATAAGTAATATCATAAGGCCATCTAATGTTTCCGAAAAAAATCGAAAAAACATGTTGCTAAGTAATATAACAAGAAGCACTAATGTTTTCTGTTAAAAAATATTACTTTGCATTGTGTTTTTTCGATTTTTTCTTTCACAGGAAAAAAGTTACATGCCCGAATGGTATTTGACAAGACTATTTTATGAGTAACAGATTATTCTACATACTTTTCTGGTGTCCTAGGACACCATAATTACTTGTTATCAAAGATGCTGACATACAATTTTTCCATCTAGAAACCATTTGTAAATTAAAATTGCGCGTTTGTGATTGGTAGAAATTGAGACGAGGGAAATAATCATTCAAAATGACTCAGAAATCCTAAAAAACCGACCGGATCGAAAAAAAAACAATTTTTGGAGACATGCAGATTCATTAATATTCCTTTTTTAATAACATGCAAAAAACTACACTTCCTTGACTATCACTAAATGTTGTATTGTGCTATTCTCGACCATGATAGACAATATAGAAAAAATAACAACAGTTTTTGATATCTTATCCGCTTTAAAAAACCTGCTGAGGAAAATTAGTCATTTTTTAACCTTCTCAGTTAAATATAGATTACCATTTAACAACACAAGACACGAATGCCTCATGGACTGGTTGTAATTTGTATTATTTACATTGATAGTACTACAGCAGTAGGTCATTGCGTTTGCAAATAATAATGTTTCCTATAAATATACATTTGGATGGCAGCCAAGTGACGGGACAATATTTAAGAAAAGGTCCAGGAATTTATTATATGAACCACCTAAGACGTAAAGTGCCTTGAGATGGATTGCTTGCTTAAAAAATCTACGTCATTCACCAAAAATAAATATAAAATTGTAACTTAAACTATCAAATTCATTATGGTATAACTTCATAAATGTTTTATTATACAAATGGAACTGATAAAAATGGCATCAAGTAGGTTGACTCTACACTTTCCACGCAACGCCGTCATCAATTCGTGAAGGATTGTGTTCAGTACTAGCTAGACCCTGTGAGAAAAGTCAGACAAAGAGGTCCTTTCACTTAGCTCATAGTCACCCTTTCCCCGCCAGACAGGTAGTCCATCTGGCAACATTGCCTCTCCCCGTTACCCTACCCGGTCACAACGTCACCAGTCAGACACGGCAGTAATATCAGAGTACTTGCCGAATTCCGGCACGCCGCTGGGAGTAGAAGCAGACGCGGCCGATGGGTACGCGATCTGTCTGCTGAGAATATTTTTTTACAAGTTTTAAGGGGGTAAATGTACGGGTAAATCTATGATGTGTAAAATATGTATAATAGGTGCGTAGAATTATCAGGCTTGGAAGTGTATGAATATGCCAACATGAAAAAATTGAGGTATACACCCACCCTCCTACAACCCCCCACCCCCAAATTGTTTATTCCTAAAATGTTTTTCAAATGGCCACCTTTATTTTCATAGTTTTCTACTTTTCAGTGTCAGCGCAATATTTTGAGGTTATGTCACAAATATCTATTTGCATCAAATTGTTCATGCTTTTGAGTTACGTATATATCATGAAATTTCTTACGATTCAAAAAGAAAACTTAACTTCACAAAAGGAGAGCACTGACGCTGACACGGAAAAGTAGAAAACTATGAAAATCATGCAGGCCATGAAGGCGTCCTAAAATTGTAGGAACGACTGACAATACGGGCCTAGGTGTGTTTCAAAAATAGGAAAATTTCTCTTTTGTAGAAACATGAATCCATGTAAATAGTTCAACCACTTGTATACGGAGAATCAGATACATAAATTCGTGCATCGCCTATACCATTTTTTTTTGTCGTGTATACAGAAAATAAAACACTAATAACCTCCCTAAGAAATTTTTCCTAAAAAAGGATATATGATCAATTAAAGCTGTCCATACTCCCACTTTGCCAGACAGTGTGTTTTTAAATTCTATTCAATGTTATTATTCTTAGTGTCGTTTTATTTCTAGTTTAAGTATCACGTATATTATGAGTATTTATAAGCTTATGCATCCCCGCGAACAAGGCAAGCCTTCTACGGGTTTTCTTCCATGATTATTGTTCTAAAATATGTCCTTTCTAATTATCTGCTTGTAGTTTGGACAATAAATATTATTATCATATTAATATTATTTAGTATCCTATCCGTTGGCCATCAAGTATGTATGTTCCTTATTTTCAGGAGTATTGTTTAGTATAGAAGTAACGACGGTGTACTTCGCTGTGAGAAACTACTGGAGAGGATTCTTCGCAGCCGTTTGCGGAGCAACCACATTTAGACTTCTGGCTGTATGGTTCCAAAAGGCTGACACAGTAACGGCAGTCTTCAGAACTAACTTTTACATGGAGTTTCCTTTCGATCCGCAAGAATTATTCGTTTTTGCACTTATAGGGTAAGCGAAGCCAATACTGCTAGTTTGGTTGATTGAAACAATATAAAATCGCCGTTTTCATTCACCTTCACCACGTGCAACAGGTATACGGTGATAAATGAAATTTTCTTTCTCAAAATGTAGTTTTTTGTTTTTTAATAACTTGATTACTCATTCCAATTTTTAATCTGTTCGGGTTTATTGACAGATGTTAGTAGCGCCGGTCTTTTGTTTTTATAATCGTAACAAGTGTACTCATCCACGCTTTAGTTTTAAAACACCATTTAGCTGCAACCTCACCGACAACTTCTGAAGATGACAACACAGTTTGTCGAAAGCTTGTGATTTCAGTCGAAAGAGTTCACTACCCTCTAAGTTTTGCCAGTTCCCAGGGTGTAAAGTTAGAAGTGGATCAACGGAAGTCAGGTGACAGAGGGCCTCAAAACATATCGAATGAATTCCTATATGTGTGGTCAAAAATTTTATAGTTCAGGACATATTTGCAATTTTGTGCAATTTCGAAAAAAACGTGATAACGAACTTTCAATCGCATTAACAACTAAACCATCAGGTTTAGGGCTGGTTTTTGTTCTGAGTTGAGCTAAATGGTTATTTTCAGCATAGTTGTCACTTTTCATCAGAGCTTATTAGAAATCAACGCAAAAAATCTTAAATTCATTTTTTTGTGAAAAATCTCTTCCACCACTCAACCTTGGAGGGCGGTAAAAAAATTGATGATGTATTTCATTATCCATTTTATTGTAAAAGCTATTTCAATCCAAGTAGAATAAACCCTGGAAATTTCAGCTTGCTACGATGAGTATATCATGTGTCACATTCGTTGTTGTGATGCGATAAACGTAAGAAACGCAATAGAATCCTAACCACTTACAAGTGGTTTATTCTACATGGATTGAAATAGTTTTTACAAATAAATTTGATGAAGCAAAAACAAAAATTATGGAAAACACAAATTAATTTTAAAAACTAAAGGATAATTTTATTAGAAGGTGTCGCTTGTGTATAGAAGATATTGGCGGCCATTTCGAACATGTTCTTTAAAAGTTAGTTAAATTAAATTATTTTCCACATTTGTCGGTAAATCGCCATAAAGAGCGGCTAAACACAATAGGTTCTGTACTTGTAGGTGGTATGGATTCTATTGCGTTTCTTACGTTTGTCACATCACAATAACGAATGTGACATGATACACTCATCGTAGCAAGCTGAAATTTTCAGGCTTTATTCTACATGGAAGAAATAGTTTTTACAATAAAATGAATAATGAAATACAACCTCAATTTGTTCTACCGTCCTCCAAAGTTGAAGGATGGAAGAGATTTTTCACACAAAAATTAATTCAAAACTAACCATTTAGCTCATCTTGGAAAAAAATCACAGCCCTAAACCTAATGGTTTAGTTGTGATTGCGACTAAAAGTTCATTATCCATTTTTTTCGAAATTTCACAGAATTGCAAATATCTCTTGAACTATAAAATGTCGGACCACACATATAGGGTTAGGTTTTGAGGCCCTCTATCACCTGACTTCCGTTGATCCAATACTAACTTTACACCCTATATATATATATATATATGTGTGTATACAGGGTGATGATCATGTTATTGCTAGTCTAGATGTAGTCTCACTTTTCAGTAATGTTTATTTGGAAACTTGCATTAGATCCATTAACAAACATTGGGATCAAATATGCCGACACAGCAACCTAACTCTGGATTCTTTCATTAATATCTTGGAGTACCTTTTCCAGAACAATTATTTCACTTTTAATAACAAAGTGTTCTCACAAGCACATGGTTGCCCCTTGGGCTCAGTGTTATCTCAAATTTTGGCAGAATATGTGATGGACCACCTGCTTGATATTGTTATTGAGGTATTGCCATATAATCTAATCTTTATTAAAAAAATATGTGGACGATATTATTGTTTGTCTTCCTTATGAAGGGGTGGATGATATTGTTGAAGTTCTTAACACCTATGATCCCTACATCCAGGTCACCATCGAAAAAGAAGATGATAATCAATCAGTTCCCTTTTTGGATTTAAGATAAGATATTACTGGTAGACTGGTACAGGAAACCAATTTCCTCTGGAAGGTTCCTGAACTTCAGGTCTTACCACGAACTTAAAATAAAGATAAACCTGGGGAAACAACTGAAGAATAGGGTAAAAATCTCTGATAATACTTTCCATCTTTCCAATTTAAGGAAGCTGTCAGTCTTATTCATTAATAATGGTTATCCGAAGTAACAGAATTGAAGCTGAGTGGTTGCCAAAGTGGACTGTTTTTCTGGACAAAGCACCTGACATCTCAGTAGCTAATTAACAAAACCCCATAGTATTTTATTTGAATCTTCTTCTTTTGAATTGGTTTATCCAAATATGCAATAAAATTTGAGGAATTCCATTTAAAAAATCACAACTTTGATATGTAGGTTAAAATTGGGACACCCTGTATAATTGCCAATATTTTAGAAATGTGCCCTCAAATGTCATGTATAACATGCCATAAATAGATTTTCCCAAAATGTATTTGTTTATGAATAATATTCCGTCAACACATGGATGGGCCACCCTGAATATACAGGGTGACTTTGAAGTTGAGTCATTTATTTTAACAGTGAGTAGATCTGATCAAAAGAAATGTTTTTTTCCTTTACCATTTTTCTGGTAAAATTAAAGTAACAAAGTTATAGCCCTTTGGAAGTTTGAGTACCGCCCTGTCTCAATAATAATATTATATTATGTGCTCGTGTTTGGCAACAAAATATATATATATATATATATATATATATATATATTATATATATATATATATATATATATATAACAAAAAATAGGAAAATAAAAAATAGGAAAATAACAAAAAAAAATAAAAATAATGGGCAAAATGCTGGTTGGCTTCATCAGGCCCGAAATGAATGCACATATGCAACTACAAAAGTAGATACACATGCCCACACGTCCGGATACGGGTGTAACCTGAGGAAACGAAGACGGAGAAGGAAAAAAATCACACACGAAGTCCACAACAAGAGCCAACCTACACATGTAGTATAAAATGGCTGGAAGACCTCGAATTTTCAAAGCGACATCTAACCACAACTACGCTGCCGGTTATAGCCACTTGCTGTGGTTATTCAAATACCTATCCTATTTGCTGCTCGAATCCACTTTCCTCCTTTTTGCGGATTTTGCCCATTATTTTCCTACTTTTTGTTATATACCGTTCTCCGCATGATAATTTTCTCTTTATATATATGAAAAATAAAGCTTCCGGCTTTATTAATCTCTAGCTTTCAATGAACTTTGCCATCTTCATCAGGAGCTGCAATAACACTGAGAAGAAAAAAATTGCAACTTCTGATGAAGATGGCAAAGTCCATTGAAAGCTAGAGATTATTAAAGTATAAAGAGTCATCTTTGCTTGAATTTTGTCGAAGTACCCAACAAAAGGCGGAAGCTTTATTTTTCGCCTAACTGGTCTAGAGGACAATGACCACGTCTCAAGTTATATATATATATATATAAATTTAATGACAGAACTGTGAAAAGTGCAACTGTGTCAAATGCACTTTGATCCTCACTACAGATGAGAATCGGAATACAAACAAATCCTGTCTCCTTCTAACTAGTCCGAATTCGTTTGTGAGGTAGGATTACCTACCTAATACACTGCCAATTTCAACAAACTTCACTAGTTTCAACGTCTCTTTAAAGTAGAACGGGTTGAAGTTTTTTATACACGTTTTACCCTTAATATTCAAATCAATTTTTGCCAAATGGAGAAGTTTGACAAAAGTGAAGCGATTCATGCAAAATTGAATACCTTATCGAAAAATGCATAAGATGTTTGAAAAATGTGAGTGGCGTAGAAAATAATTTTCTTTATTGTACTGTAATGGTCAAAATGAACCAATTTCTAAGTGTAGTCTCAGGCACGATTTTTTATGTATCGGCTATACTGTTAGTACTACGTGTAAAATATTTCAAGTCAATATCTTGCCATACTGTGAACATATATATTTTATTTTTCAATTTCGGCACTGAACACCGTAGTACATTGAGTCCAAAATCTGCATAAAAAGGACAACAAGATACCTATTTAGGAAAAATTAAGACACTTTCTCAAAACACTTGGTTTACGAGATATTCTTCAATAAACGATAAACACAATTTTAGTATAAACTACTAGCCATGATTAAAAATTCGAATTTGTACATGCCTCAATTACGAGGGTGGAGAAATTCTACATTCTAATAGGTTGTGAAAATATCCCATGTGAGTTTCCGTTAATACAGTGAACTATAGTATCTCGTTTTTATTTTACAGGGCTTTTTGTGGCCTGGGAGGCGCATTCTACGTATGGGTCCACCGTCAGTACGTCATCTTCATGCGGAATAGTAAAACCCTGAACAACTTCCTACAAAAAAAGTGAGTCAAATCCTCTTCACTGTCCTCTACCACAAATCAATCTAAAATAGCATCCCGTTTTGTTTATTGGCAGTCGGTTCCTGTATCCAGGCATAGTCTCCTTATGGGTATCCAGCCTGTCGTTTCCTTTGGGTTTGGGTCAGTTCGTCGCGGGAGATCTTGACACCCACGGACAGGTGGCCAGTCTTTTCAGCAACTTCACTTGGACCAACAGCAACCTGACCGTAGACGAGTATATGGTGCTCACTCATTGGACCACGCCATGGACCGGCCCTTTGGTTAATCTACTTTGCCATATTATTTTCAATGTAAGTAGTATAATTACTTTAGGTTCAGAAAATCCATAGTAAAGAAGCTGACTATAGAGTGAGAAGCACGATCGTACTGAAGTCTATTGTTCATAGAAATGGTTCGGCTAGTGCCACAAGAAAAGATTAATGGTATATCGTTGAAGATGGTTAATTTTGGGGACCTCGGTTGGCCGCGTGGGTCAGAGTGTCGTGCTACTGATCAGCCGGCCGGCCGGGCCGCGAGTTCGAATCTCGCCTTCGCCATGGATGTTGTGTGTTTGTTTTTAGGCAGCAGCGGTGCGCTGTGCGGGTTCGAGTCCCGTCCCAGGAGAAATGTTTCTCTTGGCTATGGATGTTGTGATTGTCCGTAGGTGGTAGATGGTCTCTGACTGTCGAACGCGGAGGTACCACCCGGCGGTTCTCGTAGGCGGAGCCAGAATGTGTGCATGTTGCATGCACACGTGTTCCCTCGCCAGAGTCCGTGTGGCGTCCCCCCTTTCCCATGTATCCCCCTATAGCCCCACGGTACCCAATGGGTGCTTAGGCCTTAGGCCTTCGTGGTAGTTGGAGTATATAAAAAAAAAATTAATTACAGAAATACGTTGATGTCTTATTCAATTCATTGTCCAATCAGAGTACACCAACGATTCATGATTCTGATGATATTCTGATATTAGTTACATTTCTTATTTATACTTGCTCTCTAACTGAATGACGTGTAAAGTTTCTTTCAGAACATCCCATAGATGCATTTTTCTACTGCAAAATTGACGTTTAAAATAACGTTTGAATGTTTTCGTCTGTCCCAAAATGAGCTCCCCTGAGGTCATTTTTCAACTTCGGAAAGAGAAAAGAGTCACAATGACTCAAGTCAAGCGAATAAGTAGGCTGAGGAGCCACAGGAATGAATTTACTGGCCAAAAACTCGTTTATTGACATTGCTGTGTGACAAGGAGCATTATCGCGATGCAGCACCCAGTTGTTCTTGATCTGATAAACGGTGGTTTTAGTCACATTTATTTTTTTCCCAATCATTCTGACTGTCAACCAACGATCTGAACGTATAAGATCATGGATTCTGTCGATATCTTCATCGGTCCTTGAAGATGAATGCCTTCCGCTTTATGGTTCATCTTCAGTCAGCTCTCTCCCTTCTGAAAATGCCTTAAACCACAGAAAAACCTGGGCCTGCTGAAGTTTAGCAAGAGTTTCCGTTGCACAGAACACAATAGAAAAAACTGTATCACAAAAAAAATCGCTACGGAGAACCACATTATATGAGATTACACCTCCTTCGCTTATGCATGGAATGTAAAAGAAATATAAATTGTGTTCTAACTTTCTTTTTATGAAACAATTACACTTGGAATAACAAAGCCAATGTGTGGTGAATCAGCGTAGAAAAAAATATAAGAGAAATCTAAAGCAACTACTCACCACCTAACTCTTAAGCAAACTTCCATCCTATGGCCTCACAGAAAAGCTTTGCTGATGGGTGGCTGACTTTCTCTCTTTCCGCAAGATATCAGTCGTAATTGACGGGTTCTCCTCTCCATCCCACCCTGTTCCTCTTACAGATCAACTCCTTTCCTGCACTCTACATGCAGGAGTTCAGAGTGACAAGCCGCTCTCTGCCGCTGAGCTGGAAAAAGAAGACTAGTGTAATAGTACTGTACCTTGACGAACAAAAAGCGTCCCAGCACTCACCCGGTTTTGATGGATGGCCGAGTTCTGCTAAAGAGCCCTTCGTTTTGGCTGGTGGGAATCCAGATCACCGAGGACCTGATCTGGCTCGAACACATCGCGTCAATAGCGGCAGCTACCGGGTAAAAGCTAGGCTATTTGTTTAGGGCAAAGAAGTGCTTGTCTCCGCATGACCTCACTCTATACAAGGCCCAGGTAAGGCCTAGCCTCGAGTATTGCTCAAACGTTTGGGGTGCTGCCGCCCCGACTACATTATTTATGCTTTATGCTGTCCAGTGGAGGGCTATCCGACTGATCGATAACAGACAGTCTCGGGACCCTCCCGCACCGACGGACCGTCGGCGATCCAGCTCTTTTCTACCGCTACACCAACGGGCGTTGCTCCTCAGAGCTCTCTTCTATGATGCCGCCGCGCGATGTGCCTGACAGACAGACCCGCCCTGACTTTGGCCTCCCATCCTAACCGTGTCGAACTTCGTACATCCAGAACTGGCCGATACGACCGCCCCTTTGTCCCGAGGGTGTCGAGATCGTGGAACAATCTACAAGAGGAAGCTTTTCTCAGACCCACTAACCTTGGAGAGTTCAAAAATCGGATTAACAAGAATTCTTTGGGATCATCATAGCAACCGCGGTGTCCCGGAATTTAATATAGGCATCTACTTCGATAAGAAATTTCAAGCACCGCACACTTGTCAAATTCAACGCTGTTCGATATACCGGTAACTACAACATCTAGAGTTGTCCAGGTCTTCCACTGTGCCTACCTCAAAATTCCTACAAACGGGCTGTATCCCTACCTTTTTGCTACTAGTTAAAGGAAACATGTCCGGGAAAACAATCTGGATGTTTCAGCAGCAGCATTGACAAACCGTTACTTCAATAGGAGCGTTCCATTTTTGCCTTCCTAAAATCCGATTTGTAAACACTCCCTACACTCACTACGCTTTTGTTGAATATAGAGGCGCATCTTATTTCTTCAGCTAGTAATAATTCTACTACTATAAAATTTTGCTTATTTTTAGAAAAACGTTACCCTGCGGTAAGGAAAGTCGCAGCTTTGGGAACACCCTGTAGAGCCGGAAACAATAAAACTGTGCGATATTTGTAAAAATGGAAATAGTGATAACCACCCAGTGCAGATTACTTTTCAGACTGTACAAGACATTTGTATTGAGCAACTTTGAAACCAAATCCCTAATTTTGTATGAATTGAATAATGCATGTGTTACTATTTCAGTTTTGCACGTCAATAGTCTGCTCAACAGTTCCAGTTCCTAGTGGTATCTTCATACCGGTTTTCAAGATTGGAGCTAGTTTTGGCAGAATCGTCGGTGAATGTATGCATCTTTGGTTTCCATATGGTATGTTATTTATTCACTTATATAGTTGTATAATGTTCCGTCCTCGTCGAAGTAAATATTTAGAATACATATCCAAGTAACCTCGTAGTAATAATCAACCGCCACGATTTCAAAGCGCGCACGCAGAGAAGGAAAGCGGCACCACGCCCCTTCCCCCCACCTTTCTCCCTTCTGGCCGCCTATAAACCTTCATTCCTTGTTCTCGTACCCGACCATCAAGACGCTATCGGAGTGCCTCGTTTACGTGCAGTGCAGTGTCGAGTATCCGCTGAACATTTAGAATTAGAAAACAGGAGGGAAGGTTGGCCGATAGATGTGCATTGTCGAACGAGATACCGACCGACGGTCGCCTGAAGATTGCTTTCGTCGCCGACCAAGATTAGAAAGTGGCGTGCAGGCCTCTTTTCTGAAGGGACGTCACCATCATGTAACTGTCAACTAACCGATTTGTTTTAGGTAGTAGGTAGGTAGTTAAATGAATATTAGTATGGATGCCTCACCGGCGCTGCAAATAGTGCCTAGCATGACGTTTGGGATAACGTTCTGACACTGTTGCTTGGGATAGCAACCCTAGCTTGTGATAGCCTACTTCATACCTGGGACGAACAAAGACGTTTAGAATAACGCTGACTCGGACATTAGACTCGGTTGCTTGGGATAGCAACGTGGACCTGGCTTGGGATAGTCAGCTCCACACCAAGGATGAACGAAGACATTTTGGATGACGTTGTAACATTGGACTTGGTTGCTTGGAATAGCAACATGGACCTAGCTTGTGATAATCCACACCAAGGACGAATGAAGGAGTTTGGAAAAATGACTCAATACTGAACTTCGTTGCACAAATAACAACACTGAAAGTGCTTGGGACAACGTATAAACAAGGAACGGTCAACAATCTTTTCTCTTTTGCTTGTGATAGCAAATTTCATCTGGTTGTTAAGATAAATTTTTTCCTTAATACCAGATAGAGATTAGGTATGTTACATTTGCTTGTGATGGCAAATTCCATCTGGTCTGTGATAACCCTGGAACAGCATAATAAGAATTCACAAGACAGTTGAGGAAACTGCTGAAGTACAGGGTGGTCCATAAGTCCTTTGAAATTTCAAATTTGAATAAAATTTAACGGGTGAGCGTGAGCGGCGCGGGCGAGGTGGGGGCAGTATCTTCAGTGTCTGGGAATTCAGTCGCCATGGAGTGTTTCACTGGAGCGGATCGTGCTTTTTGTGTGCGCGCGTTTTATCAAAATAATGATTCGGCAACCATTGCGCGGCGTAAATATCGAGAATACCACAATTTACACAATTTTACAAAGTGTCTAACAGCTCAAACGATTAAGAACTGGGTTGCTAAGTTCGAAGAGACTGGTTCGACGTTAGATAAACAGCGGTGGGGTCGACCAAGGACAACTCGTATTGAAGAAAGCATCAACATTGTGGCACAGTCTGTTCGTCAAAATCCTACCCAGTCTACTCCTAAGCGTTCCAGTGCACTAAACGTACCCAGAACATCTTTACAGCGGATTTTAAGGAAAGATTTACGTCTGCACGCTTACAAAATTCAGTTAGTGCAGGAATTAACAGATAATGATGCTATTCAGAGACTAAACTTTGCGAATGAAATGTTGAATCGATTTTCTTCGCTCAATAATGTGTTGTTCTCGGACGAGGCTCACTTCCATTTAAACGGGCATGTAAATAAACAAAATTGCCGTTATTGGAGCCCCGAAAATCCAAGGCGTAAGCATCAGAAGCCCTTACACAGCCCTAAAGTTACAGTTTGGGCTGCTATGTCAGCGCATGGCATCGTAGGCCCTTATTTTTTTGAGGACGACAGAGGTCGCGCATTAACTGTTACTTCGGAGCGGTATGTAGCAATGATAGAGGAGTTTTTGACAACAGCGTTGCAGAATTTTCCAGGCTATAATACGCAGACCTGGTTTCAACAGGACGGAGCAACTGCCCACACCTCCAACACTTCTATGTCCGTCGTCTGTCAACTTTTTCCCAGCAAAGTAATTTCTCGAAGAGGAGACATTTCCTGGCCACCACGTAGTCCAGACTTGACCCCAATGGACTTCTTTTTATGGGGCTACCTCAAGAGTAAAGTGTACGACACCACTCCGCGATCAGTTGATGTCCTGAAAGAAAATATCCGAAGAGAAATAGCAAGCATTACAGTGTTGACTTGCCGCGCAGTCATCGACAATTTTAGACGTCGTTTATATGAGTGCCGTGATCGTAATGGATTGCATTTAGACGATGTGATTTTTAAAACATAATTCCCATTCAATAAAGATGATAACAAAATATAATGATTCTTCATAATGTAACTAGTTTGGTTTTATTCCTTTTTTTCCAGCTCAAAGGACTTATGGGCCACCCTGTACCATTTTTCATTAATAAACTCCTCATAGATTAGCTACATCTATGCGAGACTAGCGTTACATTTTGCTTGTGATAGCAAATTCCACGTGGCTTGTGATAACCGTGGAACAGGTGTATAATTATGAACATGTCAGGTTAGAAAATCGCCAATGTATATCTTTTTCTTATCACCAGATAAAGAATAGGCACCTATGCGAGGTTAGCGTTACATTTTGCCTGTGATAGCAAATTTCATTTGGTTTGTGATAACCTTGGAATATTTTTGTCAGAATGCGCACGACAGTTTAGGAAACCACTAAAGTACCATTTTTTGTTAATAACAGATAGAGATTAGGTTTTATCTATCCGAGATTAGCGGTACATTTTGCTTGTGATAGCAAATTCCATATGGTTTGGAATAGCCATCGAACAGATCAATAATATGCACATGACAGGTTACGAGATAGCTGAGTTACTATCTTTACATCTATAGCAGACTAGCGTTACATTTTATTTAGCAAATTCCACATGGCTGGTGATAACTGTGGAACAGGACTGTACGTATGAACATCTCCGGTTAGGAAACCACCAAAGTTCTAATGTTCAGTAATAACGGAAGTTAAATATCATTATGCCCGATTAACGTTACATTTTGCATAGGTGGTACTCGAACAGCAGGGCGCTCTGGATTGTGTTGTCTTAAAGGCCATGTAGTTTGTTTCAATAGATGGCGCATCACCACGATGATGCGGCGACCTTAGTATAATTAATGTTCGCGCGTTTTTCCAAGGATGATATTACGAAGGCAGATCTTGTTGATGACGATAGATGAATAAATTCTGAACTATTCAAGCCACCTAAAGTGAACCCTGAGGTAACGGAAGCCATAACAGAAATTGTCGTACGCAGGGATGCGTGCTTGGTCTGTGTACAGCAACATGTGAGCGTTTCATAACTGTAAGTGGCAATACTCTATCCTCTAGGTTCAAAGAAGGGAGAGGAGTGCATGCTGGCAGATTTTCACATTTAAGCAAAGAACACAGGAGTACTCTGACAGAGGCTTCCAGTGATATCTTGCTCTTCGGTGTAGGTCTGACCAAGTAAGTCAATTCTAAACAGAAATCAGATAAACAGAGCAGCAACTGAATGCCAAAAGGCCAGACAATGTACTGACGACATCAACCCACTATTGCAGATGAGGTGTGTAGATCAGCATGGATATTAACGCGTATTCATCATCAATGGCAGAGCTTTAGGAGTGGCGCTAAAGTCCTGAGTTGGACTCAAGTGGTCACCTGCCATTCAGATGGCGACTGGTTTAGCACTTTGCCATAGCTGAATATCATTAGTCCATCTATGAATTGCTTAGCAGCGGTGCTATCAGTAAAAACAGTTGAGCTAACCAAAAATCAGCACCTATCCAACTTTTTCTTGCCCCCAAGTCTGATGGGTCAACACGTTTGATTCCTTACCTCAACACTGTTTGTTTATAGGGAAATAACGCTTAAGTCTAGGCTATTGAACTGGGATCAGACTTCTCCGTAGAGATACTTTCTTAACGAATCTGGATTTGGAATATGCAGGGATTTTCGTACCCGTTAGGGAAAGTGATAGAATATATTTCAGATTCATATTCAAGGGACAGCTCTGCCAATACAATGTCCGTTTATGGTAAATTCCCTTATGTGTTCACAAAGTTAATAAAACCATTTATGGAATACCTTAATAAAAATTGAATACTTTCAGGCTCAGTATTAAATTGTGACAGAAAGAAAGTAACTTTACTTGAGCGGACGATGCAGACATTACTAAAACTAGTAAGGGGAAATAATTGACAGCAACCAAGACAGAGTCCGATACTTTGCGGTGAACATCGAGATCTTGGTGTCAGCTTGTCTTTCATTTCGTTACAGCCGACTATACATTAACGAATGAAATTTCTTGTCTTGTAAAATTCTGAAGGGAATTTTAACACTACTATGCCACTAACATAATATAACTTAAGGTCTACCTTGGCTGGGACTCAAAGAAACTGGCAGATGCGGTCAGAGGTACTGAGTTGTCCAATTTTTTGTTGTATAATTTCTCGGACTGGGACATTCGTTGGCCAGGGAGGAGTCTCTAGTTTTTGGTCACCCGAGAAGATCCCGCATGCTAATCATCAAGAACAACTGGTAGTTTTCTTCTGTGGTGAATGCTTTGCTACCGAATTGATGGGCGGTCGCATAATATACCCCATCCTACATTAATAGAATGGAGAGCTTCTGGTTTCCAAGTCTGGACCAGGTTGCGGGAAAAGTACGGCAATTGTGTATAGAGAGAAATCTTACAGCCCTCGCGTCCCTGGTTATCGTCACTGGAAAGCTGTCATTCCAATCAACATCGATAATTCATCATGTATTGACGGTTTAGATTACGGTAGGACCTTTGCAATACATGTCTGGTTTCCTACCTTGAAATTTCTTACTTTACAGGTGATAAGAGATCAAGATATAATTGTTTGAGCTATCAGTCTTTTACCCAAAATGTTACTAACGATGCATACATAAGATGGTTTTTGTAGGGCATTTACAGGCTGAGGCCATCTCAACTGAAATTAGATACTGTGGTTGTTCTCAACCAACCAAAGAGGTTGCTGGTAAGCTCTGTAGATATTTGGATGAGGAAATCAGCAACACTGCTAGCTCTAACCTCAGGTCAGAGTGAGCAAACTAATTGAAACAGACAACATCCGGATTGGGTTGAATAATACTGAAATTGGGATTTCTGAGTTTTTAAAATTCTCGGGGTCACTCACGTGGCAACCACTTAAGTTTTACCGTAATCTACGCCCAAATATCTGTGCAAAGCATTTATTAGTTACTGTACAGTAACTTTATGATGATGCCTCGGCTTCCAGATGGATGAAGTCGGTTTTAGCAGAGAGTACTGTCACAGTTGACAACCCACAGTACATGAAATGATAAAATGCGTCTACCTCTCCGCCGGCTAAATTATAGTAGTATCAGGCTCGCGGCGGGCTGGAGTGCGTTTTCTGAGATACGTCACAAAAGGAAGGGGCGCAGTGCCGCTTTCCTCCTCTGCGTACGCACTTTGAAATCGTGGCGGTTGGGTACTACTACGAGGTTACTACGATATTTATTCTAAATATTAACTTCGACGAGGAGTTCACATAATTAAGATCGAACATCACTTACAGGTAATTATAAAAATCTTTCCTAAAAAGGTCTACTTTGCAAATTATACAGTATGAATAGCGAGCAATATTTTGACAGCAGTTTCAAAAATTTGTTTGACTTTAAATATTACGTGGATCATAACATATTGGGTCATTTGAAAGCCAAATTTGTAAACTCATATATAGTTGTAGTTACCGTTCTTGGCAGGTCAAAGTAAGACTACCAGTATCCCTGTGTGTTTACGTTTGTTCGGTAGGCTCAAAGACATACGTTTTTTAGTTATGTGTCTCCGTCTCGAAAACTTTGTTGTCCCAACAAGGCGTTGAAGCTGCTCTCGCCGAAAGCCCTGACATACTTGGTGACAATAATCAATGCGACGCTCAAAATCCAGTACTTCCCTGCTGGGTGGAAGACTGCTGAGGTCATCATGATTCCAAAGAAGGTGGGTTCGATATTCCCTCAGGATTACCGTCCCATAAGTCTGCTGTCAGCTCCTTCTAAGCTCGCCGAAAAGGTGATTTATCGTCACCTTGAGAATTTTTCGTCAAATCACCATGTGATTCCTGACGTCCAATTCGGTTTTCGGTCCGAGCATAGCACCGAGCTACAGGTAGTCAGGCTGGTGGAGCATGTAACCAGAGGGTTCACCCCTAGCAAGAGTACTGGCATCTTGCTTTTGGATGTCTCAAAAGCCTTTGACAAGGTGTGGCATGCGGGCCTCCTCTATAAACTAATCCAAAAGGGTTTTCCTTTTTGGCTTCTAAAATTACTGAAATCCTTTCTTGAAGGAAGGAAGTTTCCGATCAAAATTAACAATGTTTTGTCAACAACACGGCGAGTACGGGCCGGTGCTCCTCAGGGTTCGGTCCTAGGACCAATTCTTTATTCGCTTTTCATCCATGATGTCCCTTCCCCCAGCAACTGTGAAGTCTACCTCTATGCTGACGACACTGCACTTGTCGCCCAGTCGTGTACTGGTGATCTGGTCCACGATGGGTTGCAGAATGCGGTGGACGAAGTTCTAGAGTGGGCGGAACGGTGGCTGATAAAAATTAATCATTCGAAAACGCAGGCTATTTATTGTACCAAAAAACGTCGCGGCCCCCCAGCAGAGGTTTCTGTAGACGGAAATCGAGTACCATGGACAAATTCTGCCAAGTATCTCGGTGTCACCCTTGATAAAGGCATGACCTGGCAGAAACATACAGCATCCATAAAAACAAAATTCCAAATTGCGTTTTGGCAACTATATCCTTTGTTATGTAGATCCTCCAAATTGAGTTTGATAAACAAAGTTCGACTATATAAAATGATTATTAGACCAGCCATTACTTATGCATGTGCGGCTTGGTGTTTTCTTGCCAAGACACGCATGTAAAGTCTTCAAGTACAGCAAAGCAGAACTTTGCGGACAATTTGCAACGCTCCATGGTATGTCTCAAATAAGATACTACACAGAGACCTTGACATTCCTTACTTGAGGGATTATGTCAAGCTTCAGGCGCAGCGTCGTTATAGTCAAGCGGAATCGCACAGCAACCCTCTGTTGCGTGACTCAGTGGACTACACAGTAGAGCAAGTTCGTAAACATTCAAGGCCACGGCTCGCACTGTAATCAAAAGTTAGCGTGAATCTTTAGTAAACTCAAAATTACACTCTAACAAAACCGAATCAAAAATTTGTTTAGTTCACCTCAAAATTAATCCGTGTACCAAGTCAAAAAGCCTAGGTGTTTCCCCTTAAACTAAGCATATCTGTTTTTCTTTGTTCTTCTCCTTTTTTCTTCTCTTTCCCTTTCTCTTTTTCCTTGACTTTGTCTGGTTTCTGGGCAACCAGGACTGACAGATTCGACTAACGTACATCAGACAGTGACTAATGGGCAAAGGTCCTACGGACCGCCCAGACAAATAAATGACGAATAGTAACTTTGTTGTCACCTATGAGTGCCCTTCAATCATATTTGTCAGGGTAACAACTTACTTGACATCGGCGTGCAATTTGAGTTGTCCTGTTATCAATCTTCAATATAAAATTGTACAATGACCGGAAATACGATCAATGGAGAAGAGCGACATCTCGTGCTAAATTTATTAGAGTATTTCCAGAAAAAGAATGAAAACAGCGGTCCCCTGTTACCCACTTCATGAGTACTGGAGAGAGTATCAGATGCGCTGAAGATTAGTCTGCGCCCATGGTCCGGAGATTCGATCTGTTTCTTATTTTATATGGCGTTAATGGCGTAACCGCCAAGAGCGGTGACTGCAACTATAGTAACCATTATTTATACTGCTAATTGATCAAGAATTAAAAAAAACATGAATTCCTGATCTCACAAACAAGCAGTTTAAAATGGAGTTTGTAATTTGAATTTTACAAAATTATCCCTCAAATGATATTTCGTCTTCATCCAAGTCACATTTAGAGTCACCATTGATCGTGAGAAGAAGTTATGGACCTTTTTTCTGAAAAAAATGTTTAGTACTTTTATACTTTTTAAACATCACTGACTGACCTGCGGGCCTCCGTGCTGCCGCGCGGACCCATTTATGAAAGTGCATTCTGCTGTAGAATCTTGAACTTTGTACTGTTCTGTATTTACAAGTATAATGGTTGCATTTGATGTTTAACCATTCAACTCATATCTAAGGTCAACATAAATTATTTCTGGTATCCTGCAACTTGTAAATCTATTAGTCTTTTTTCGTCTTTTATGTACAGGCATGAGATATGGAGGCAACATAGCAAAAATAATTCCCGGAGGATACGCCACTGTAGGCGCAGCTGCTTTTAGCGGTGCCGTAACTCACACCATTTCCGTATCAGTGATCGTGTTTGAGATGACCGGACAAATCACTCACATCATCCCTATCATGATCGCAGTCCTGTTATCAAATGCCATTGCCAGCCTTTTAGCGCCCAGTATATACGACAGCATCATTCTCATCAAGAAACTGCCATATCTACCTGATCTCCTACCCAGTAGTAGCGGTAAGTGAAAGCTATAATTAGATCAAATACATTGTTTTTTGGAATACGTGGAAATATGGTGGTACATTAATCTGGAAATAATGATGCCAAAAAATTACAATCTGTAAATTTACTACCGATCTTCAAGTGGAAGCGTCAATCGATTTATTGAATTTTTTGTAGAGTATATGTGGAAAACATTTATATATATACAATATATTTTATTGCCGCGCAGGCAGAATCCTAAATGTCAGGACACCGCGGCTGCTATGAGGATCCCAAAGAAATTTTGTTAATCTGATGTTTGAACTGACTAAGGTTAGTAGAACTAGGAGAAGCTTCCTCTAGTGGATTGTTCCACAATCTCGACATCCTCGGGACAAACGAGCAGTCGTATCGGCCAGTTCTGGATGTACGAAGTTTGACACGGTTAGGATGGGAGGCCAATGTCAGGCGGGTCTGTCTGGCAGGCACATCGCGCGGCGGCATCATGGAAGAGAGCTCTGAGGAGCAAAGCCCGTTGGTGTAGCGGTAGAAGAGAGCTAGACCAGACCAGCTGGTACGAACGTCTCTTTGGCAGGACTCGGCCATCCATCGAACCCGGATCCATCGAAACCGATGAGCTTTGCTCGTCAAGGTACAGTACTGTGTTTTGGAAGCATTAAACTGTACAAGATTGTTGCGTCCCCAAGCAATGATAGCCTCCAGCTCAGCGGCAGAGATCACTCTGAATTCCTGCATGTGGGTTCATCATGCCGGAAAGGAGGTCGTTGATTTGTAAGAGGAACAGTGTCGGAGCCAAGACCGATCCCTGGGGAACGCTCGCGTTGACTTTGTGGGATGAAAAGGAGAACCCGTCAATTACAACGGATATCTTGCGGAAAGAGAGATAGCCAGCTACCCATCTGCAAAGCTTTTCTGTGAGGTCATATAATGAAAGTTTGCATAAGAGGGCAGCTTGTCACAGCTGATTGAACGCTTTCCTGCTATCAAGGGCAACGACATGAGCCTCACCATAAGACTGGATGAGTCTACTCCACATTGGCGTGACGTAAGCTTGAAGGTCCACTGCGAATCGCTGATGCCGGGAACCATAACGCTAATCGCTAATCAAGCCATGACGTTCGAGGTAGTTCAGAAGCTCGCGATTTATGCACCTCTTCATCACCTTAGTTATAACAGAAAGCAGAGCTATAGGCCTACAGTTCTAAGGGTCGGTCTTATATCCTTTCTCTGGGATGGGGTGGACTTGGGCAAGTTTCCAGTTTTCTGGGGAGGTCCCGGATTCATATCTGAAAAAGACGAGAAAGAACTGGAGCAAGCTCCGCTGCACACTTCTTCAGTACAATGGCAGGAATCAAGTTCGGACCAGAAGCTTTGTTGATGTCGAGCGACAAGAGCACTCGTCTTACGGTCTTATGCCTGACCTTGGGGTCGGAGGGACGTCTATGGTGGAGTTGGCAGCAAAGATCTTGGCAAGCACTTCCGCGTTAGCCTTTGAGTCGGTTACAATCGTTCCATCCTGACACGTAAGTGGTGGAAGGCTACTGTGTGAGAAGTTCTTTTCAATCTGCTTGGCCAGCGTCCAGAAAGACCGACTGCCATTGCGCTGCGACATCATCATATGTCTAACTTTTATATCGTGCTGGTTTTTCGCATTGCGAACAGCTTCGTTATATTTGTTTCTGGACTCGATTTTGGCCTGTCTGTTCTCTACAGTGGGGTTTTGTAGGAAGGTTCTGTACGCCTTGATCTTCTGCTGGCGAGCAGTGTCACACGATTTGTTGAACCAGCCGTTGGACATTGTTTTGGGCAGCGTCATTGTATGAGGTATGTATTCCTCCATCTGGACGTGGATAATTTCTGTTATTGAAGAACAGTCAGCCGACACATCCGTCAGCGAAACAAACATCTCTCCAAGGAAAACCTAGAGAAGACGTCTCTGGGCCCCTCCCAGTCGGCATGTCCATAATGCTAAATTTTGCGGCCTGGGCGAGTTTCTGCTGCCACAGCTGGTTCTGACCGAAACCTAACCTCCACAACACCGTGGTCTGAGTTACCCAGGGGGAGACAGGGCAGCAGTGCTGTAAGGGACAGGACGTGTGGTCAAAAAGAGATCCAGCAGGCTACTGGCATCTGACCAGACGCGGGGAAAAAAAGAAGGGCTCATCACCAGCTTGGTCAGCTCTTGAGTGAGAGCGAACGCTCCAACTTCACGACCTACTGCATCGGTCTTGTTTGAGCCCAACCGGAGCTCATTATGGGCATTGAAGTCACCGAGGAGAACTACCTCTGAAGCGAGGTGAATGATGTTTACTAAGTCGATCTTGACGGCGAGGTGTCCAAGTAGGTCATCCCAGTTATGGCCCGAGGGAGAGCGATAAAGGCAGCAAATAAATTTGGGGGATGTTTTGGAGTTGAGGCGAAACCACAGGATGTCCTTCCGGTCTGATTCTAAGGAAACATCTCTGGAGCAAAAAAGATTGCTGCGGACAAAGCCACAACTCCCCCGTTCTTTCTCAGATTGAAGTGCACCTCGTAATTTGGGAGGCTAAGATGGTTAATCGGTGCAGACTCTGAGATTTTTCCTCCGCCAAGAAAAGCAGGGCTGTACAATAGGAATGCTAGTAGTGATATCTTCGATGTTGTTCCCTCGAGTACACCCTCCACCCGGATATTCCGAGAGTGGAGTGTGTTTACGTCCGGAATTCTTAGTATTCTAGACATCCATCATCATTAATTTCTTTGTTGGAGAAGATAACCGACTGCCTAGCATAGGTGTGGAAATATGCCGACATTTATAAGAGACCCTGGGAAAAGCTAGCGTGTGGTACCGCCTCAGTCGACTGGACCTTGTCTACCACCTTCTTTTTGCGTGGTACATTTAGGAGACTTCAGTATAAATTTTGACAGTTAAGATGTCTATGATAGAATACTTAAACAAGGGCTAAATTTCCATGGATTATGACAGGAAATAAATGACTATACAAAGGTAACAAATTAACAAAATCTAAATGCTGAAGCTAAGCATACTCCAAAAATAAGTGATCACTCATGTATATATTTCGAAGTGGAAAATATGTTCAATGAAAATAAAATTAATTAAAAATTAATTTGATTAATTATTCGTAATTTAATAATTAACAATATGTTCAATGAAAAGAAGTTACAGTACTTGATTTCACAAAGTTACAAGAAACATTTTTACAGCACAATATATCTGAAATTATTAATAATGTCGACAACTACTTCGAACAAATTGTTGGTAATATGGATAAATATATGGGAGAAGCTATGGTCAAGAAAATAGTATATGAAAGAGTGAACACCCTGGTTTTCACAGATATCCACAGAAATCTAAATTAAAACGCGCTGACGACTACAAAAAAATTTCAATAACCCAAAGTGAAAATGATTACACAATATACAAAACCAAGAAATGAGTGTGTAGCACTTCTCTGAATGGAAAAAAATACTGTAATGATAAGATCGATAGCAATAAAAAACATTAAAGAATATTGTTTCTCCAAGTAGAAAGACTGAATTATCTGAAATGCGTTTTGAAGAAGGGGTAGTGACAGAGAAAATAATTATAACAGAAAGAATCATTTTATAGACAGTATAAATCAAATAGTGAGGACGAAAGTACCTACAAGTATATCATCAGTCAATATTGAATCAATTTAGGACAATAAACATCAAGAAACTAAGAAAATCTACGTCAGAATTGAAATCCAATAAAAATCCAAATGAGAATCTCTCAAAAAAAGATTCTAAATGATTGTTTCAATATAACTGGAGAGAAATTATTATCATTGGTGGATCATTGTTTACCATCAAAATTAAAGTGTTCGGCCATTACTCCTGTGCGAGAAGTTCAACATTTTGAGCTATATACACAAATATGCAGCCGATTAATGTCTTGCCAGATGTCGAGAACCTCTTCGAAGGGATAATATACGAACAAATCATTGAGGAAAACGAAATTTTGACAAAAAATCAAGCTGGATTTATAAAAAAAGTTCTACAATCCAAATAGTAGTGGAAGACTGGAGAAGAAGTATAGATCAGAAAGAATATAGATAGGGAAAATTTTTTAATAAATAGAAGTCAAAAAACTTAAGTTGGAAATATATCAAGCATTTAAAATATCTCAGTAAAGGTACTACACAGGAGTAAAGGGCCGTTACTATTTATTATTTATATAAATGATATATCTGACATTTTAGAACACTGCAAAATTCAAATATTTTGCGGACGATATATTGATATACAACATACAAATAAACTAACATAGATATACGTAAATAAACTGAATTTACCCACAGAAGGATGAATTCTTATATATATAGTACATCAACATTTGAACACTGCTTCAGAACATGATTAATGATGGAAAAATTGAAGTAGCCGAATCATTCAAATATCTGAGTATAAATGTGGATAGTAAACTAAATATATCAAAAAAGATGAACTACTTCTATAGACGAGTTTCCCGTAATCTTTGTATGTGTTCCAAAAAAATGTGTATAATTCTTCCCCTTTTTTTATATTGTTCAACCATCTTGTTTACAGCAAATGGAAACATATTTTCTAAATTACGAATTCAAAATAATGCTATGAGAATCATTTTAAATAAAAACAAACAGGATTAAGTCTATGTTAGAAGAACCACAGTGGTTGGATGTAAAAAATTTTAAAGGTTATTCAGTTCTCATTTTCACATTCAAATTAAAAAATAATTTATTACCACCACATTTAGAAAACTTCACAATATTAAATAATCATTATAATAAGCATGAAACTAGTAGAGGCAGTATAAATTTTCATCTGCAAAATTGCAATAGTAGTATAATTAGCAAATGGGGTATTTGAATTTAATAAATTGAATAATGACATTAAACAGTGTTCACATTTAAAAAGGTTCAAGGTGAAATTAAAAAAACACTTTATGAATACTCAAAATGTAGTGATTTAATTTTAATAGACAACAATGTAAAATTACAGAAAATGGATTCAAACAAATGTGTAAACGAATAATTATACAAAATTAACATTGTAGCATTAATGCTAAATAAATCTTCAACTATCAAACAAAATTTCTGTGATGTTGAAGAATCCTCCTAAGAAAAGGTATTAAAAAGTTTTTCAAGAAGCTATATTCATATCGTATTCGTATAAATTAAATTCTTTTTGAAAAATCGTAAACAGTTTATTTCAGCTATGAAAATGCAACTTTGTCTAAATTAACTAACTAATTTGGCATTTGATCCAATATTTCGTAAGTAGGTATGCCTTATGTTTATTTTTAAATATAATTACTTATCGATATCCAGCAATGTACAATATCTACGTAGAAGACTTTATGGTGAGAGACGTAAAATACATATACCATGGAATGACCTACGAGCAGCTGAAGAGCCTTCTCAAAGAAAACCGACGTCTGCAGAGCTTCCCTTTGGTGGATAATCCTGATAGCATGGTGTTGTTGGGCTCAATACAAAGGATACACCTCATACAGCTGATCGAAAAGCATATAGGCAGAGAAAGAAGGTTACAGGTAACGTTTAAAATGATACAACGTTCTATCATATACATTATACGAGTAAGGTTATATCAATTAAAGAGGGGAAATTCATTTTAATTTCCCTGGTGTGATTTATCTCAACATTGTATAGTCAGGTACCAAAATGGGAGAGAGTATGCCACTGATCTAGGTGCTGTTGCTGAGTACGATGAGATCCACGCAATTGTTCACAAAAAATACACGTTCTATTCCGGGCAAAAGTGCATTTTGTGTTTACTGTTAAAACAAGCATTAGCTCGAATCCTATTTGACTTTCGATCTTTTATACCATTCAACACTTCAAGCACAAGAAACTGAAGTTATACCAGAAGTGAAGTATAAGCTCCAGATTAATTCTTGAATATGTTAGAAATCATTGTTTCATGAAACAAAAATAATACGGATTCAAGTGTTGCTAATCCTTATAAAAGAATTGTTGATCTAGTCTAGATCATAGATTCCATGTAACGCTGTAGTCATAGTGCGCATCTAACGACTGTATAGCGCTGATATTTTCTGGAGATGCTCTCGTTTGACACCTTCGCTTTATGCAATTGTCATTTCTGACAGCCATACAAAAGCTCCTGCAAAAAGTCGTTTGAAGCGTTTTTCTCTGAAACTAGATTAAATACGCACAACGCATTGAAATGAAACTTCATCGAATATATTATGTAGATGATGGATAAAGCCGCAAGGTAGTACCGTAGATGGAACACGGTCTAGAAAAAAAGAGGAGGTTTTAGTGAGTGAGAGCCTCACTCTGTAGCGATGCATTGTCGAGTTGCCCAGCCGGCAATGCGCCGTTGCGTGCGGTAGGTACATTTCCTTCTCTCTAAACAAAAAAAAAATAATAATATCGATCATTGTTATTGAAACTTTGATATAGATGTTTCAATAAATGCGTCCTTGAAACACTTTAATTATTATCATCATGATAAATTCACAGAAGCTTTGTGAAAAAGTAAAAGTGAAGTCGATCTTGAAGGTTCAATATCAATCGTGAACTTATGGATTTAAACATGGAAGTTCGAAATATGACATTCCATCAAAAGTCATTGATAATTTCTAATACACTTTGCTTATTTGTAGATTCATATTAATTAGTCAAATAAATTAATTATACATATAAAATATTTACAGGTAGTAATGGATAGACAAAGGCAAGCCAAAGAAAAAGCTAGGCAAGAAGCTTTGATGAAAGCAGAAGAGAGGAAGAGAAGGCCGTCGAGATTTCAAGTGGTTCCTGCTGATGATATTTATCAGCGACAGTTATCTGACAATGAAATAAATCAGGTGAGGGTACATGGAATATAGGGACAGGGACATGTGTATAATATATGTAGTAGTTAACGGTATATTGCTTAAAGGAAAAATTATGTTAATGTATAAACAATAAGAGATCTTGTACTTTCATAGCGTACAGTTATGTGATGTAATATTTCAGCACAGTGAATCCTTATAGCTCAAGTTACCAATCTGGTCGCTGTATCTTATGACTTTTACAGTGGTATCATCTTATTAGATTTAGGAATACAATTATTATATTATTAGATTATGATATAATATTTTTATATATCTTGTTCATTATTCCCGTTGTAATTGTTTATGCTTTTTGAGTCACAATCAGAGATCTCAGTGTATAAAATCTTTCTGGTCTATCAAGAATGTAGACATATTTGACTATTATTTTTCTTATTGTACTATTATAATTATTATTGTTTATTGTTGTTATAATTACTATTATATACTTTACTACTATAATAACAGAAGGCAGTCCATAATAATTTTAGCCTGTCTTTATATAGCATGTAGCAATGTTCCATCCGTTGAAAATTTTCGAAAGACGTATTAAAGAATTTTGGTCTTTAATGTGGTTCTATGAAAATGTTCAGACCACGATAATGAGGAATTTACTGTCACCGCTAAATCAGTCTGGATACTGCTGTAACGGCTTGGTCTTCATGTATTTAAGATTCATTTGGATTGTTTTTTCCAATATGTATATGCATTATGCACCACTTTTCTGAATTTAAAGGAATCAGACAATGGACAACAGCGTCAAAATAATTCTGGAGTACCTGAGTGTTGGAGAAAGAGTTATATAACTTCGTATCGTCTACGTAACATGAAGCTATTGCTTACAGCGTAGATTGTATGTTAAATCGCCCGTGTGCAGGAGGAACAAGATTTTTCCCAGGACAGAGCCCAGCGGAACACCACTTGTGACTTTTGTGCTGGATAAAAATGAATCACTATCACAACAGTAAAAAAAGCTGTTACCCATTACAACGAATTATTTCGAGATAGGTTAAATTTTGTAAGTACGGCCATGTGGGATACGATCAAATGCTCTTGAATAATGAAGGTAGCAGATATCAGCTGGAATGTTTTGGTCTGTTAAGCGGGTTCAGTCGTCCAAGCATTAGTAGATTGATCTGCCAGGATGAAACCCACGCTGGTTGGATGGAACTATGACATTTTGTTCGATGAAACTTAAAAGATTCTCCAGAATCATCTTCTGCTAAGCATATTGGACAGTAATTCCTAGCATACCTATTGCCTTTTTTTGAAGACTCCGAAAGTCATACTTAGCGAAAGAGATAGTAGAGAATTCTTCAAGGTCACAGCTGAAATCCCGTACAAACCAGGTGCTGTAGTAGACTTCAGATTGTACAAAAACGTTGTCGCAGCTTCTTCTGTGAAAAGGAACTTCTCTGACATCGAGTGAGAGGTAGATGTGGATGAGTGCTGTTTTTTTTTCAGTGGTAAAACCTCTGGAAACTACTACAGATGTCTGCATTGACATCATTGATCTAAAGAACAGCAACCTTAGAGTTTAAGTTTGATCTTATATATGTAAAAAAACTTTGGATTTGCTGCCTTTAGTTTCCGCTGAAATGAGACTTTACTCTCGGAAATGATGTTGAAGAGAATATTTGAGAATCTCCGACGAATATGATAGTTAGTTGGATGTTTACTTCTCCTGAAGCACTGCCAAATGCTCTCCTTGTATCGAGTCATACGTAGAATGGTTTGACAGGGTGGCATGTTATACGTTTAAAAGTGGTGGATTCACTAATCAGCAACTGAAGCTTCGGTATTAACCGATATTTCCTTTGTTCCAGCAAACATGTCACAATCCTGTGTTTGGGTGTCAACCAAAGAAGTCCATATTGAAGAAAACAAATTCATTTACAATGAAAGGAATATCACCTTTCATTAGCCCAAGCGCGACGCCATATAGTACCGTTACAGGCGCTGAAAGTAGAATTAAAATAGCTTTTGACGCAATATTCAGGTAGGTATATTATATTCAGATTTAAGTAATTTCCTAGTACAGTATTTAATGCAGTTGTACATCTTCGCGGAATAAAAAGTAAGCAAAAAGTTATATCGAATTTATCGTAGACCAGTTTGCTTTAGGTTTCATACCCGTAATCTTAGGACAAAAAGGTGTAAAGCTTTCCTGGAACATTTTCACGCCAAATTTTGACATATTTCAGAGTAAGCAAACTTTTTCTTATATGACTTGATGCATATCCCACAGGTAACAAACTCATTGCACCGGATCCTTATAAAACATCTACAAAACACAGCTCATAATTTTAACATTGTTCAGAGTAAATATGATTTAGGCTGCGATCCTGTCTGCAAGACAAAGGTGCTTAATTTTTGAAATCGATGTAGAGACAGCAAGGTTATGATCAAAAAACAAAAATGTTTCAGATCATCCCCAATCTACGTATCTGTGTACTTTCCAAATATAAGTTTTGGACTTGATAGAGGTTGATTGGTTATACCAATTTTTTGTTTTTCGTTATTTCCCAAGATTCTAATCAATAACAAATTTCAAAACCTCGTTTTCTGGGTTACATATATTAATAGTGGGACTCAAATAATATTTTTTGTGCCAATGGCCAATCGCGCGGCCCCCAGAAAACTGTTTTTGGAATTGTCTACAGTTGTACATGGGCGATACCCATATGAAAGTGTGGGCTGTGTTTAATGAATCTACTCGACATCATTTTCTTCTCTACCAGGAAGTCTTCGCAGCTTCAAGATGTAAATAATGATAGTCAAACAATACTAAAGACAGGATCTCTGGACAAGGCTCAGATTGTGCCCATGAGCCCTACGTCATCCAAAAAAGTGACTTTGGTGAGTATATCATTTTCTAATAAAATTATGTACCTGATCAGAATATTTTCAAAAAAAACGTAACTAGTATCTAAATAAAAAGCTACACATAATGACTCTAAATATAGTAGTAATACTTCTAGGGCAGGAAGTACGTCAAGAAACATCGTAAATAGTTCCTATAATCATAGTTCATAAAGTGTCCCTTGTAACGAGATAGGATTATGCCCCTAATATTGTACTACTCATACATTTTCTAATTTCAGACATCACTAACTCTAGCATATTTTCCAAGTAGAACGGAATTAAGATAATTATACGGGTTAATTTTTAAGTATTCAAACCAGTTTTTCCTCAAATAGAATGATCTGACCAGAAAAAAGAGTGGCGTAGAAAATATAGTTTCTTCAGTTTCTGCACCAATGGTGTTGACAGAAGCGCAAATAAATAATTCGGATTGCTTATGATGATATATTGCGCCAGGTATAGTTTGTGACGATACCTCAGTGCACTCCAGAGATGTGAATTTTTTTTCACTTTTCATGTTATTTCTCAACCTTCTTTCTGTCCTAGAAATATATATTGTTTTTTCAATTTCCTTGTTAAATTCGACCCTCACAATTGGGATCTCGGAAACTGTAAGAGATACGAAGTCGCTTAAATGGGGTCAAAGTTGCGTATTTCAGGTAATGAACAAAATACCGCTTAGAAAGTTTCGAAATTCAACGTACTTTCAGAGAGAGTCGAAAAAAACTAATTTTCCGAAAATCGTTTTAATTTTTTCCTAGATTTATTTGTGATGGGATTTCAAAATAACTTGCGCATCAACATTGCCACTTGTTCTCTTCTACAAGATGGCATAATTAGAATTTCAATATGTTTCCACTCTTGTGCTCCAGCGTCAACTTTATTTTTTCTTATAGACGCCGGATTGGGTTTTAGCACAGATGAATAGGGTTTTTAACTCTAAGTACAAATATGTTAATACGTCATACATTCACGTTGCCAAACCTTAGCTAATTCAAAAAAGCAGATTTCCTAGCTAGGCCTGAAATTCTCAGATTGTCAGTTGTTTCGCATAGCACATTTATCCCAAAATCACTTTTATTTTTTTCCTGAATTTATTTGGGATGGGATTTCAAAATAAATTGCTTGTTATTGTTACCCATTCTACTCTACAAGATGGCGCAGCTTAGTTCAATTTTTAATTCGACATTTTTTTTCTGCTTCCATCACCAACTTTGTTTCTTCATATGCAGGCTATATTGGAATTATGTACACTTAAATGGACTTTTCAGTCCTAATTCGGTGATGTACGTGACAGGTGCGTACCTATTTCCTTAGTAGACATCCCCCCGCGTTTCAATTAATTGTCAAAAGGTCAGCTGATCTTAGAAGCACTCATGCAGCTGCCGACAATCCTCTTCTCTTCAATAACCCAATTATATCATCAATATCTGTATTGTGTATTATTTACATCTTGCCGACAATCTCCTGTCCAAGAATCGAGCAATAATAACCTTTTCGATCCGATATTCGGAGGAAAAACATACTGCAACCAAATTTCAAAACGATTTGAAGAAATTGAAGTAATGAATAATACTTTATTTATTATTATTTATTAAAAACAAATATTAATTAAAACAGGCTAGTTGAGAATAGTTTTATCTGAAGTGATTTTTCGGGATTTTGAGAGCGACAAGTACATATTATCTGATCTTAAATGATTTGATTCTTCACTTGGTCCTTCCAATGCCAAAAAGGCGAGAAAGAAGCCTACCATTAGCTGATATTGTTGAGGTGTGGAAGAAACTGACTGCACAATGTATTTTACTTGCTTAACAGATCCAGCTGCTAATGTGCTAGAGTGCAATCCTAACTGAAAGTCACTTTGACATTAATTTAGATCGGAGTGGTACAAACGTCTTTGCCGGTGGCAGTACGTCACAGTCGGCAGGTAGTACGTCACAATCGGCAATCGCTCCCGCACTGCTATGTGCAGTATGCAGTGTGCATTGTGCATGGTGAAGGCCAATATCGTCATCCACGCGGGATTGGCATCGCAACGAACATGTGGACATGCAAGCATTCCTTTTAGGGGGAGGGGGAAGGTCATTCAATTTTTGGTGTTACATGTTCTTTTACGAACTGACCTGTGACGGTTTATTTGTAGGCATTTTATTTTTCTTGTTCCTCGCACACCAATTTTTCCTCTGGATCCGCCCCTGTCATTTTTTTTTCAGATTTTAGTTCAGAAGCTGGTATTTCGGCACAGATTTCGTAAAGAAATGTTTCAGTTACTTTAAAACCTTACTGTGCTATCACTTTTCATGGTTGGACTCCAGCATTCAGAACGCTGTGTCTACACGTAATTTTGCAACTTCAAAGCTTTGCGTGACCGGCTACGGTCTGGGAATCGTAGTTTTCCACATAATGTTTTAAAAAGTAGTTTTTTATTCCGATGATCTAATTTTTAGATAACATAATATTTTGTGAACAAATTTCATTTTACCTGATGATGACGTATTTCAACTTTAGCCAAAGGAGCGCGTGTGCGACATGAGCCCCGAAGACCAACGCATATGGGAAGAGGAGCAGATGCAGATGTCTGTCGACTTCAATCATTGCCACATCGATCCGGCTCCATTCCAGCTGGTAGAACGCACCTCGTTGCTAAAAGTGCACTCGCTCTTCTCCATGGTAGGTGTCAACCATGCTTACGTCACAGCTATCGGAAAACTGGTGGGGGTCGTGGGACTCAAAGAGCTTAGGAAGGCCATCGAGGAGGCGAACAGTGGCAATCTGCTACCACGCCCTGAAGGATGCTATCAGCATGGACCTAGCTATTATGGTAAGGGGCACCTTCTACCTCTCCCACGTTCATCTCTTGGGGTCCCTCTTCCACCATATCTACCTCTCGCAATAGCCAGAAAAGTTCATACTTTTCACAACTAAACGTATTCAATACGTGAGTCAACCAGTTTAACTATTTAGATAGTAGATACTCTTGCTTACTGAAGGCTCGTCACGCGATCTAATTTAATTACTATTTATACAAAGTTGAGTAGTTTATATCTATTTCAAGATAATATGTACATGTAGAAACCAACATTCACGCTAAATTATACCCAAATCAAAAAAATTTCATCTTATCCATCTTTCAACCGTGATCAAAAATCTCCAAAGACCTAAAGATCTAAATGCGCTCCTTTCAGTTGAGCAAAAATTATGAAAATTAAAAAAAGAGCTTTGTACGTATGCGTAACACTTTTCTTTTTTTCGACAGAGGGAAGCTTATTTGTAGCCACTCTCGGGCAGAATAAGTCGACAGCACATCCCACCACGGTAATGCTTGTAGTATTTCATCATGGTGGGTAGCATTGCGTTAAATATTCATACCAAATATATTATTCATCATATTCTCAAGGTCGTACATATGCATTTGTACTTATGTATATGTACAAGCCAGGAAGTAGAAACCGATTACTACTTTCTTGGCCTTTTTTTATTATCGTGTACCTTGCTCAGTATCATCCTCCTAATTGTTGGTTGAACGTCAAACTATATTTGCCCTTGCTTACATACCTATCGTCTTCGTAGTAATATGCACATCCTTCCCGAGCCAGCAACTTAATCGGCGGGAGACCAGCCACCACCAGTAATGCATCTGTGAATACCATTCTGTAAGCACAGATCACAAGCACTACGGCCTTTCTCTGGCTTCTGAGCAGCCACGATCCCACGCCTCTTACTGTTGGGATCTTCCTCAGATGGTACTTGCCGAATTAGAGAAGCAACGGCTTTGTTAACCTTACCAGTGGTGTGGTGGGTTTTATTTATTAAGTCATTCTGAGGTCTTTGTCGTGGCACACTTCTAGATATCTAATGTCATTTGGGCCTCTGTTCTTGCCAATCCCAGCCCTAACTACCATTGAAGTTAGCTTCTGTCTGCTGAAAAGTATGTCCACTTCCATCTTCTCAGGAGCGGATTTCAATCGATCCTCTTCTAACCATGTGGTAATCCTCGTGACTAAATAAGCTAAAAGCCTTTCCAATATATCTCTTTCCTTGCTAGTCACTACCATCGCTAGGTCGTCAGTATATCCTATCAAGCGAATTCCCGGCAGCTTTTGCAGCCAAAGAGCTCCATTGTAGAACACGCTCCAAAACAACGGCCCTAGGATTGAGCCTACGACACTCAGTAAAATAACTCTTTATCATGTTCAACAGTTAGCTAGGGGTGTCCAACTTCTCTCGGACTAATGATTTTCTGCCATTGTACGGTGTTGAAGGCATTCTTGACATCAAAGGCATCCTTAGCCAATTTGTAACTACCGTAGCTGCCGCTAGGGCTGCTTCTTCCACCTGAAGCGTTCCATTATTTACCTCGACGTATTTTATTAGCCTACCTTCTAGGAGTCGTTCTAGTAGCTTTACCATACTGAATTCAGCATACACAGAGGTCTATATTTGAGTTCCTTACCGGTAGATTTTAAAGGCTTCAGGGTGAGATGAGTACCAAACCAGCCTGCTTCCACCTTTTCGGAAACACACTCCTTTTGTCAAGCATTCATTCATCAGAGACAACACGATTTCTTCACTGCTCTCATTTGGTATTTTGTCGGGACCCTCTGCCCTACCTGTTTTCAGGTACGTTGCACCTTCTACCAGCTCACTCTTGATGAACTATTGTACGTCCAAATTCCCATTCGACGAGTAAACACGTCGAAAACAATCCCTCTGTAATTTTAGTTTATTGTTCGGTATCCACCTAAATTAGTCTGTCTGTGAGTCTTGGCTTTTTCATAGTTCTCTTGTCCGTTTAGCCCCAAAAATCGTTTCCAAGGTCGCTCAAACATCTCCTGCTTAGATTTTACTATGAGCTGATCTGGTTATTTACTAGCATTCTGATGCTGTCACTTATATTCAAGCATCAGAACATTATCCCCGTTGCACGTGCTCTGTGGTACTTTTTTCTTGTTATCTTTCTTCTGATACCTGTTCCTTTTTGTGCTATTTCATTGCTCCACCAATAATTCATCTCCCTCACTTTACCACTCTTGTGGCTATATCCTTCAATAATTGAACTTTGTCCTTGTGATAATCCAATTTTGTATTCTAACTACAGATTTCCGTGGAATGTTTTTAGTTTACCCTCATTTATTTTCCACCTGCGGATCTTGTGTGTCTGATTATGATCTTGCGAATTGATCAAGCAAATCGACTGCCGGTTTGCACCTGTTTAGATTTGCTATATTCTTTTCAATTTGGTGTTGTGGGAATGTTGCTGTGTTCTTTGTTTTTTGTTGGGCAGTGCAATGCAGCTGTTTCGCTACCTCCCTGTATTTCGCGTAGACCACACTGTTTTCCTATTTGAGGCACTTCTGCCTTTGGTTCTCCCGCGACTTACACTTACACTTGTAGCATCTCACCGAAGATACTTTTTCACTTACCTGCTCCATCCATTTTTAACCCACGGCTGTTCCAGCAGAATACGTCTAAGCCCCTCAGGGAGCATCATCAGGACGTAACTATGATTGTGCGTGCGTAAATACACTGGACTCCATAATTATCGCCCCAGTATTCTGAAAGTTCTTCCTGACCGTACCGCTTTATCCTTGGTAGGCTTAAGTGTATCTTTAGTCTTTAGATGCCATTAATTTTAATTAGTCGACGCATATCGAATGGCGCTTCCTATTATAGAGATGATCAAAATGATTTTTCTTGATGGTATTGTCGGTTATTTATTTATCTCTACGGTAAACCATTTTATAATAAAATTAAAAACTGGAATATATACCAGACATAAATGTTTATACAAATCAAAAATATACTGTAACAAGAATGAATAGTACTGTTGGCGCCATCTGCCCGGGTCGCGCCAGAGACTCTCCTTCGGTGCTGGCGTCATCTATTGGCAAACGCGCCAGGGACTCTTGTTCGAGATCGACGCGATGTGACCTCGAAGATTCTGGACTACCGCTATGTGACTCAGCAGAACCTTCTCGAATCAACGAGTACCTGCGATATAAGTTGAGTCATTAATTTTCAGATAATGATTGTAGAAGGAAGATAAACCAAAATATGTGTGTAAAAATAAAAAAACATTAAAAAAAAATGTTACCTTGTTTTATAGAGTATCCTCCCGACAAGTATTTCAGTGCGGACCTGTATTTGATCGTGCGGTCTTGGAGCACCGGCAGGCCCTCCCCTGTAAGGTCTTAAGTCTCCTGATTCACGAGCCCTTTGTACTACATTAACAAAGGCACGAGGGGTTGGTTGCACTCGATTGGGAAACCGATTCGCACAACTCCGTGATGCTGCGGCAGCATTTTGTAAGAATCATGTCCACAAGTTCAGCATTTTCGTAAACATGTGCTATTTTTTATTTCGTTTGAGCCACGCAACAAACACCACTATTCACTCACGCGTTACCGACTGACGAAAAACATCGTGATAAACGTTTCAAATTCTTTCGTTTTTTTGTTTCCGATGCGATGAACCGATAACGCGGATTATATCCGTTGTTGCCAAACACGAGCACATAATATTATTATTGAGACAGGGCGGTACTCAAACTTCTAAAGGGCTATAACTTTGTTACTTTAATTTTACCAGAAAAATGTTAAAGGAAAAAAACATTTCTTTTGATCAGATCTATTCACTGTTAAAATAAATGACTCAACTTCGAAGTCACCCTGTATAAGTCGACGGCCGGGAGAGAGAAGCAGAGTAGATTTGAGTGAATGGCGCGACATAATCCGTAAATATTAGTCAGACATAAATAGTGGTGTACATAAATGTTCTATCTAGTCAAGTTAACCCAGATACCCCTGAAACTCTTAATGTTTGTTTTTTGTTATATACTTTTGTAAGCCTATTAATTTGGTTAATATAAACATATTTTCCTAGTAAAATTTTTTAGTTCCGCTTTTAGGTTTTTCTGTAAAAGCCGTCGGTTTAAACGTACGGTAGCAATATAAGGTACTAAAACTCAATATTCTTATGAACTTATATGCAAGATCACACTTCTGGCATCTGAATACAGCTTGTTTGTGGCAAAATGCGCAGCGGGTTTGCTTTTCCTGATAATTCACAAGATGATCCATCCGATCATATCTGGACTCATAATGCAGGTATTTGCCTGGTTTAGATGACCCCCGTTTTGTTTCTTTCTTATAGGTTTCTAATAATCCCGCAGCAATACACCTCCTAAACTGCAAATGGTCCATGTTTCCGCCAGAATGTTTATGAAGTTGCCATGCGTTTTGTTTTGCCATATCCAGAGCATGTGAAAACAAGCAAAAATACCACTTCTTTCCCCTGATTCCTACGCGGTAAAGGGTTATATTTTGGTCAGCCCTATCAACACCGCCCATGTTTTCGTTGCATTGTTTGATCAAACATGGATTGCTCAACATGTATCATTTTCTTTTCTTTCTGAGAGAAGCGTTTAACTTGCTGTGTCGGAAAAGGAGATGTTACATTTGAGGCGATTGTAACAACACTATTGTCATTCCATTTACATACAATATTATTTTGGTTCTCCTCCAAAAGATAATCAAAACTAAAACGGGATTTTTTCTTGAACATACTGGATTTTTCAAGAGGGCAATCTGATAGTCTGTTTTCTCGCAGAGTTCCTGTGCATTTGAGCCCCCTGGAGGACAGCTCAGCCAACAGAGGTAATGACGTAACAAAAATTGTCACAAAAGATATGGAAAGGAGCTTTTTCACATTGAGACTGAATAATATCAGCAAACTGAAGTACAACACTAGACCCTAAGCCAAGAGGACGATATTTTTCATGAATAATATTTGTGGACTGTTATTTTCCCAATACATTGACCGTCGAGGAGATGAGTTGTATCCAGAGAGCAGTAATATACCAATGAAACATTTTATTTCACTGGAATGTATATCACCTCGGCGATTATGCTGAATAGCATATTGGAATATTTCACAACCAGGTCAATAATTTCGTCATCTATAAACTGAAAAAATAGTTCTAAAGGAGATAAAGAATTTTTTTGACCACTTGCGTTTACCCATTCTGGAAAATCTTGGTTGATGTCACCTTTTTTCCAAGAGTAACTTGGTTTTGATAATTTTGGTCGTTTTTTCGTAAGAAAGGTAGACAAAGGTAGGTCATCGTCGCTATCAAAATCACTCTCAACTGTAGTTTGGTTTGATCCCTTGTTTTCAAATACAACCTCAACTTCAGTCATCAGCTGACTTCCAGGGAGGTTGTTTATATCCACTTCATTTTCGTCGCCGGAATCCTCATCAGTGTTATATTCATTTGCGTTAACTGGCGGTAGAACGGCAATAGTATCAGGAATGAACTCATCGTCATCAATGTTTTCAATTTCTGCCATGAGTTCATGAAGTTTCATGGGCCGCTTCCAATAGTTCCAATAACTGCAAATATAAGAAAAAAATCGAATAATACCAGGTTTTCCTACTGTCCGTTAAAACGGACATGGGTATTTGAGGTTATATTTTTGCCGGTGAGATGCAAATTTTCAACTTATTTGTTTACAATTATAAAGATTGATGTTTTCTAAAATTACTTATTCACAAGATGGAAAAATAATATGAATAGTTTATTAGTATACTCACCTATAATTATCCATTTTTCACAACAAACTAAGCACCTGTTATTCCAAACACTTTCTCGCATACAGAACTCTCCCTTTAAGAGGTTAGAACAATAAATTTCGCTTAAACACGTGTTTCTAACAGCGAATAACCCAACGCCATCTAACGTGGAGTGACAGAGTTTCAAATTTGAAGCGAAATATTAGGTGATTGTTATAACGGACGGTAGGGGTATTTGGGTTAAATAAATTGTGGAATCGAGTGTTTTACTCCACACCTATAAGAACCCAGAAAATCGCTACAATGTCTACCCAGCCTGAATCTGAAACGTTATTGGAAATCCTCAATAAATCCAGATCAGCACTATCATTTACATAAGAGATGGGTCGATTCAGAGTGAGATTTTGGGCATGTCTTGTGCTAAATCTATCACAGAATAACACTTTGTTATACATCAAACTGATGATAACTGAAAAATCTTCACAATTGCTCGAGGAATTAAATATATAGCCAATAATTAAGCAGGCGTGCTAGGCACACTTTTTAGCCCAGCACGAAAATTACCATTACCTCTGACAGATGGACTCTTCTTGGGTGCATTGCACTGAGACAGTCACCAGAACATTTATGTTTCTTTAGAAAACATCAGCACTGAAAACCAAATACCACTGACTTCGTAAAGTGTACGACCGACAAGCGTGAAATACGTGTGTTAGAAAGAGATGGAAGCACCTCATTACGTAGCAACCCGAGTACGAGGTGACGGAAGCCATCAGCGTACTCTTTCTAACATACACATGGCACGCTTATGGCGCTTCTTTCTCGTACACATTGTGACGTCAGCCAAATTTGAATGCCACCGTTCCTGTACCATGCACCGTTATAAAGAGAAAAAAGGTAAACTCCAAATCAGTTTTAAGCAGTAGCATTTGAAAACAGATAGATGATCAGAAAAGCAAACGAGTAGTAAAGGGGTAGGCATGAAACACCTTCATCTCAACTCCTCATGTTAGGGGAGTGCAACGTAGAGGCGCGCTTAGGCTGCTTTTTATGGAGAACCTTCACTACAACGTCCCAGTAAACCCATACGCTATCTTCACTCCAAGACACTCAAAGCTTATTTGCAACCCATTATATCAAAAGCAGTACCTCTTACTACCGCAAACTTTACACCGACTTTAGTCTTTCTCCTGATCTTGCTGACAGAATAGCGGATTTCTAACAGGAGAGTTGTAAGCGGCATAGGTCTGAAGTGAAAATTTGGCTGAGACTTGCGTTCTGAACAATGATGATATATGAATTTTTTTGATAAAAGTAATCCTTGTGTGTATTAGTAATTGATTTCGATAGCTCAACGCCTTCCCGTTCTCGTATGCATACTAATTCTACTCAATGTTTGCAGGTAATAGTATCAATAATGAAAACGACCAGAACAAAGAGCCAGATGCCAACACTGCATTGATGGCCAACAGTACAGATGTATGAAGAATGCGAGGAAGTGTGATCAACATTCAAAACTATAATGGTTAATTTTTACTGATTATGAATTTAAAATCAAGGACACCATTGTGGTGACGACTTATTGAAACTTACAGAGAAAATGTATTCTCTGTATATTGTGGGGATGTGTATATTTATTTTGACGAGGTAGGGACCTGGTGAAATGTAACAAATGTTCGTTTTCCCTTTGACTCTTGTCATTATTTTTTCTGAACTCGGAGTCTGTCTGTTCAGTTCCTTTGGATGTGATAAGATTGCACCGAAGATAAATTGTTACGCTTGAAAGGTTCATCACCAACTAAATTTAAGTCTTTTATCTTTGGCACACTGTAAATGGAGCTCATGCTTATACCAAAAACCAAGCTGCTATGAACATGAAGCTAAAGTGTATTTCTCATGTACCTGAAATAACCTGTATCAGGTATTTCTTTGACGTTGCACAGTGTTTAAATTTTTTATTACATTTGTGCCAAATTGTATCTACTCATGAATTAATGCTCAACTTTGAAGTTTACAAATTACATATAATTACATTTAATTGTATACTACTGATGACGACCACACTATTTTATTTAGTATAATGACCCTTCGAACACGAATATATTTTAAGTGATGAGATTTGTGATAGAATTCATTGTTTTTGATTCATGTTGAAAATACATCATTTTATAAGGTTCCTCGTGTTTTCTTTTGTCCCACTTCTCATTTTCAACATCTTTTACACTCTGCTAAGTGATGGTGCTACGTTTCAGGCCTGCCAGGCAAACTTAAGAGATTTGAGACTCGTATTTTAAATTTCTGGGGTTCTAGGTTCTCCGTGGTCCCGAGGATAATAAACACACTCAGGAATTCGACGAAATCGCGTTTCTTCTCTCAATTCGTCAATACAAGTCTTCTTCCATATTTCAAACAAAACCAACTCCTTTCTAACAAGTCGTTTCCAACGCAACGCAAAGTTGTCCCATATTTTTTATTTGGGTTTAAAAATATGGTTGCCCAAGAATAGCCCAGAATACATCGGCCTAGCATGTTACGCGAGTATATGCTGGCATATTCAATTCGTAACTGAACGATTAGAGATCGGAAGGAATTTCCTTTTATAAACTGGCCTCGTCTTAAAATATCGGAGTTTTGTGCAACACAATATTCATAACATTACTTCTCCGACTCTACTTCACCTGATGCAGGTAGTGACGCGCGCCAATTCGAACCACGAATTATGCAGTCGAAACTTCAAACTCCGTTTTTAAAAAACTTTATTTGATTCCAACAATAGTTTACATGGACCGAACCGGAATTACAGTGTGTGTGTTCGCTGTGACTGAGATTGAATGACTGACTCATAATTAAGATACAATCGTTAATATAAACCAAAAGTGATGAGCTAGTAAAAAGGAATACAATGCAATTATTATATCAATCAATAAAGTGCTAAATGTCGGCAACATAACTCCTCCACCCTTAAGATGAAGTTTTGGAGGGCACAAACAGAAACCAACTCCTTTCCAACGCAATGTAAAGTCGTCCCATATTTTTTTTTCGGGGTCAAACCCCAGCAAACTTCTGCTTCTCATATCAATTCGATTGCATATGATCTCTCCTTAAGTGTTGTAACGGTGAAGGAAACGTAAAACAATCTTCCAAATGAAGCGTTTCCCAGTTCTATCAACTTTAAGGTGGACCAACGGAATACCTTTTTCTTTAATATAGTATTCGCTGTACCTTGACACTGTATAAGCATTGTCACTGTAGCTGCCCCCGGATGAAAAATGAATTTCCACTCATGAGTAAAATTTTGACTAATCGTCAAGTAAATTGGCCCTACACTTCCCACGCATCCCTCTCATCAGTTCGTAAAGGATTATATTCGACACAAGTTATCCCCACTGAGAAAAAAGTTAGCTACGAATATTGATAACAAGAGATTAAACGGATCTCCTAGCCAGAAAGGCATATCGTTCTCACCCATTAGGTAACGCTAGACATTTCTTCCCTGACCTACTGAAAATATCGACCATCTGGCAACATGACTGAATCATACCAGCCAGCCATGCCAGTGATGAACGGTGAGCCGTCAGGCGCAAACAGGATTTTGTTTGTGCACATGAGTATAGGTTCGTATCGGTTCGTAGTGATTTCACGATTACAAAGCTTCCTAGGCAGTGGCGCGGGAAAAAACACTCAATTCGATATATCTGCCAATCTCATTTATTGCGAAAGACACAGTACGTAACAGTTTCTTTAAGACTAAGACATAAAACTATAAATAAACATGAACGATATAACAATCACGATTTTTCTTTAGGAATATTAATTGTATGAGCTTCTGTTGTTTTGTCACTGGGACTGCTGTTAAAAATATTATTGGTATGTTCTCGGTTGGCTCTTTTTGGTGGGTTACCACTATTTGCATCTTCTATAGCTTGACGGAGTTCCTTCAGGCTTACAACACCAACCAACCTACCTATAAAAAGAAAGTATACATAATATAATTAATAACAACAACTTAACAAAAAACATGGGCGGTTGATTTCAATTATAAACGAATGAAAGTCAAGTACCAAATTAGAAGAACCTCGTACTCTATTGGTCAAGTTGCTGCACAGTGGATCCGCGCACACGTACCTTTGACGCTTTAACCCTCCGCGTTACCAGTAGCCTCTAACGAGTTCTTCCAATTTTCAGTGCTTGACTCTATGCCATGGTTAGATTCACCACATTCATCTTCCAAACACACATTTGGTGGTGACTCAAAAACGAGTGTTGGAGATTCATTGCATTGTTTTCAAAAGCATTTCATTAAATTGGTATAGCGGTTACTCAAGCTACGCGATGGGAGAAGCCATGGACACACAGAGAGACAAAACAACTGTGTAGAAACCATTAAACATATAGAACATGTAGATAGTAGAATCACAGAGAGACTTGTAGCTGTGAAGCCGTCATTTACTCGTCGCCTTCTGACAACTCGGTCCGTGAAACCTTACATTAATCAAATCCAAGCGAATAACCAATATGTCTGTGTTATGTGCCGCGATTATAATATGGTTCATGATGACACACGGGTTGATGACGTCAGTTACACGAATCGCTTGAACGCGTTGGTTTTAACCGCGGTTTTGTTGCAAGTTTTTTATTTTAGAAAAGCGGGTATATAATCTCTGATTATTTTTATTATCACTTAATAATCGGTGCTTTTTCGTCTACAACTGTGTATGGAAAGTTTAAAAAAGAAGCCTTTCATAATATTCATGGGAGAAATGTTTTCTTTTTCAGAATTTTTTTTTCAATTCTCTAAAGTTTTTCGCATGTCAAAGAAAATATTTATTGATTCAACAGAAATGATGAAAAAAGATATTAGCAAAATTGAATACAGGTGGACATCATCTAGTGAGTTTATATGGCCATATTTTAATATTCTTGTGGTATATGGCTACACAGAATAGGTACTTTGTTAAGCATAGGAACTACATTTAGCGTGTGCCCAATAACAGTGATGAGTATAACTAAAAAGGTGCTCCACTTTATAGTAAAACTGAAGTCAGCCTGTATCTAGTTTCCCAAAAATGAAGCTGAAGTACAATAACATTATCCAATACCCGGCAAAATTCTAACTTGTCACATTTCAAATAATAACCAGAAATATAAAACAACTCCTGAGTTGGGTACATACCACAATTTTACGGTGATAACTATGACATATAACAGTTGATTCATGACGTCACGGATCTTATAACCAAACTGATAACCACACTCGCTTGAACGGATCGGTAAATACCAACCCAAAATGGTAAATACCATTTTCATTTGGTTATCCGGTTTATTTTTATTTATAACCAAACTGATAACCACACTCGCTTGAACGGATCGGTAAATACCAACCCAAAATGGTAAATACCATTTTCATTTGGTTATCCGGTTTATTTTATGATTACTTATTCGTTGAATAGTTCAGCAGTTATTCAGATATGTTTTCAAATTTTATTGATTTGTGCAGGTTCAAATAATGGTACTTGATATGGGAACGAAATCTATTTATGGTAGATTAAACACCACTTTCAAATAGTTAAAAGTATTAAATTCATAAATACCAATTTCAATTTTGGCTAATCTTACCGCTCAGTTAAAATAACACTTCAAATCCTTTAAAGTACATGCTTAGTCACTGAGGTCACATGTAAAGTTATGTGCCCTCAGTTTAAATGCAGAGCATTATTAAGCAGCTATAGTCTATTTGGCCGCCATATTTGAAAATGACCGCCAAATTGTACAACGGTTATTTACTTTTTTAAAGTTCGGTTTACTCAATCTTTAAATCCGAACACTGTAACATTGCATTTTTTTAAATAATTCAGTAATTATTGAGATTTCAATAGTTGAGAATCTATTTAAATAACACTACTTTACATGTAACGTGGTCTGCTTTTCGTTGGGGGTGGGGATGGATCAATTTCGAACAGTTAAAAGTACTGCATCTACTAATCCTGCCATAAAATCGAAATAAGTATTCCAAATCTTTCAAAGATGGTAACACTGACTGTAAGACAAGGTGTGACAATTGGTAACGTGTGCCCTGATATTATGTGCTCTGAACTTTAGTCGGGAAGTTGATGAAATGCATACAGGAGTATTTGAAGAAAAATACCACGTGATTTGAATCATAAGACCGTCATATTTATAAATGGCGACCGAATCGCAAAATACTTCTTATGGGGTATATCTGAACAATTATTGGGTTATTCGAAAATTGTATGACATCAAAACAAGTTTTATTTGGAAAAAAAGTACAGAGTTAGCCATATTTGATGTAGTTGATCTCATCTGGCATTTTAAGTCCCCTATATTACCATTCGTTAAATTCGAATTCTATATTAAATTTAATACTATAAAAAATCATCACATTTCAAACGTCTTGTGATCTTCTCTATAATTGGAGTTACTATCATCTGACCCTTTTTTGTACCAAAAAGCTTGTACTTGTTTCTCTACCACACTAGAATCACTTGTACTTTTATGTAACATAAACATCCAACTTGCGAATATGGTTTTTGTTTTTATCGCTAGAACCATTATTCTTCAGACCTCACATGAAAATGTCTTCCTCCAAACTTTGCTCAAATCAAAAAAGTACAGTAACCCCACAGGTATACGGTCATGACTTTCAGTCTCAAAACTACATTAACCTTATTTCTGAGTCAAGATTCTCAATTGATAATAAAAAAGACGCATGAGATCATTCCTCGGAAGCTTCCTCACATTAGGTGGCTAATGATAAACCGGTAAGGCAGGCACGTACTGCCATCCACTCATGATAAGCCCACACATAGAGTCGCCCACAGGTGCACACCCGGACCTACGTGAGCTCAAAACCCCCGCGGTTTCAAAACTTTCTCGCCGCCTTACAATAAATTTGTATCTACCTAATTTGAAGACAACCGTCACACCGCCAGTAAACCAAATTTGCATTTACTATTAAAGTTAACAGTATGCGGTATCCGTTACTAAATACCAAAAGTACTTTTTACACCATATCTGTGACTACAGAAACGATTATAGTGTAAAGCATCTTAATTAAGGTCATTTAGTAACTTACTGTGGTACTATTCAGCCTCGTACCGTTTCTGACACTGTTTCTCCTAATAACGTTATTCCCTTAACGAGTCAATCTACTTGTC